ACAAATTCGTATTGTGCGTGCGGTTTCTTTTAATCTGCTTCTTCGAGTGCGCACCGGCAGGAAACATGCAACATGATGGAGATAACAAAAGACGCAGACGCGGAGCGTAAGTCGAGCGTCGCCAGCAACAAGATGAATAATGTTCTCTCGATAAATAAATGCTAATTCCACCGAACATTAAAAAGCAATTATACGCAACTGCAGGATAATGAGCTCGAGGCAATTATTTACGATTTGAGCGCACAAAAGCTTTTCATATTCTATTGCAAAGCCGGATGTCGAATGTGTATTACTGGAATTTGTTTTGAAATCATTGCGCAGTTGCGCAAATAATACCTGGAAATAAAACTAGTCCGAGGGGAAATTCGCTCTTCCACGAAAACGATCACTTATGACTTCATTTTCCTTGTCCAGGGCGGACTTCAAAGCAGCAAAGGAACTGACATAATTCAATTACATGCGCCCGCAAGAGTAAGTAAATTGATATTGATATCTGGATGCAGTTCCATTTTGGGCACCGCAGTGAAAAAGACGAAATAGATCTGATCAATACTCGGGTGCTAATCAGACTCGTACACTCATTAACTCGCTGTCGGCGAGTTGTAAGTTGTTGTAAGTTGCAGACACAATCGTAGATGCGGGACACGTCGAGCTCGCCTAGGCTTAGTTAAACAACGCAGTTGCACCTGTGGTTGCTGTTGGCAACGGTGGCGGCGGCGGCGGCGGCAGCGCTCGTCCGTCTTCGACGCTTACCGCCGCCGCTCACGGCCGGGCTCGCGCACGCCGGCTGGGAATAAACTGTCCGGAAATATAAATTTACCAACGAGTTTCCTGTCATATGTACACGCAGCCCGCTCGGTGAAATATTTATACGCGCGCCGGGGCCGGCATGTGATCATGCTCGACTCGTGGATTCGAACGTTTTCCGGTTTACTGCGCTGCCAGTCGATGCGTTTTGTTTGCGATTGTTCAAGTCATCAACACAATTTATTCTAGGTCTTGTTCGATACATGTACCGCAACTCAAAGCATTGGATTTTCTATGTTCGATACATATACGCAAACTCAAAGCATAGGGAATCGATGTCTCTCATTGGTTTTGTTTCAGATTGTTCAAGTTATTAACATATTTATTCAAATAGTCCACAATACTGTTTAAAATCTTGCTCGGTACATGTACAGCAAGTCAAAGCATTGGATTTTCTATGTTCGGCACATACACAACAACTCAAAGCATAGGGAACCGATGTCTTTCAGGCCTTTTTGTCTCCAATTTTTAAAGTTATCAACACATATATTCAAAATCTTGCTCCGTGCGTGTACCACAACTCAAAGCATTGAATTTTCTATGTTCGACACATATACGGCAACTCAAAGCACAGAGAATTGATGCCTTCTAGTCGATTCGTTAAATTTCCGATAATTTTTAAAGTTATTAACACATTTATTCAAATAGACAACAATACTGCTTAAAATCTTGTTCTGTAGATGTACATCAAGTCAAAGCATAGGATTTTCTATGTTCGGCACATATACGACAACTCAAAGCATAGGAACCGATGCTTTCTATGCCTTTTTGTTTTCGATTTTTTAAGTTATCAACACGTTTATTCAAAGTCTTGCTCTCTTCATGTACCGAAACTCAAAGCATTGGATTTCCTATGTTCAGCACTCATACGCCAACTCAAAGCATTGTCTTCCCTCGAAAATATTCAACTAGACGTACAACTGTGACACTAAGCTCACGTGGGTGAGCAACACAAACATTTTTTTCTGCGTCGGTTAGTAATACCGGGATTTACAAATGTATTTCGAACGCACGAAAAGGATTCGCACATTCCGTCCGGTTGTACTTTGTGGCATTAGCGGCGAGCGTGCTCGGGCGTGCAATAAATTCCCACTTCCCACTTCTTTATCCGTTATTGATAAATCCACAACGCAACATAAATCACTCGTGAATGAAGAGCGTCGCGAGGGCGGCGCAAAACGAGAAACGATGCACGCGGCGCCACCACCCCCGCCCCCAGCAGATTGCGTGTGCATGGCCTCCGCGATGAGTGGAGCATGGAAAATGGAAAATAATGATTTACAACTGTGTCCAGCGGCCAAAAAGAGTTTCGATTTGTTTAGATCGAAATGAAGTGCTGCTACCAGCACGCTGCGTTAATTAAAACCGCCGAATTTTTCGATTGAAATATCAAACCGACGAAGGGAAACCCTTGGCAGAGCATAATGGATGCGCTGAAGTAGGGAACAATGGACGGATCTAACATTCTCATGCACTCGTGAACTCATTACATTGTTGTTTCTAGGGTGGTGGTGGGGGAAATTCCAGGAATATGAGGCACACGGGTCGAGGTGAAATTCAAAGCTGATTATCTTAATTAGCCGCCGAATGCGTAGTTTGTCATGGCAGGAAGTGGGCCAATCATAGAAAACCCTCGTGTTTGCTGGGCCACTTAACTTATTGCTCCCTTGAAGACCAATGGTGGGGGTAATCTAGCGTGTGTTAGCGTAGCAATACAATACCTGCGGCGATGCCAAAAAATCCAAATTACGCGCGCTCGCAAATTTATTTCGAATCTTTTCATGAAATTTCCATAGTAATGCGGTGCGCCAGCGCTGGCGAATTGACAATTTTCGACAGGAAAACTTTTCGTGCCTCTTCTCTCGCAAACGACATTATGGTTCATTAAAGCCGCGCGCCGTGCCAAATATAAATCAATTTTAATTTAATTTTTTTTCTTGGTGAAAATGTTGACAACTATAAATTTTCTTTCGCAATTTATCCAAAACCCGCCGGTATTCATATGGAAATTTTTTGCATTTTTGTTTATTTTTTTATTTATTAAAGCTGCAATGCCGCTGGAAAAACATTGTTATCATTTTCGTTTTACTACTATGTCTTATTGGCTCTGCGCAGTATAAAACCTGCCTTTATCACCTGCACCACGCCGCCGCCGGCGGTGGAATGACTTCGGTAACTGCTTGGGCGTTAAACAAATTTATACCGCTGCTGATTACTCTGTTCACGTGCATAATTAAAACGTGCGTGCATAGGAAACATCTTCGGAAAATTACGCGCTGTGTTTTCGGCGGTTGACTGGAATTGCTGATAAAACACGCGTTATTATTAAGTATTTCGGCGGATTTTACTATCAAGACATGAACTAAACGCAGCTACGACGCATAAAAACTTTAATTGCGCGTTTCCGACACGACTAATTTCGCCGGCGATAAAATCTACTGTGCGCTATTGACATTGTGCTTACCGTGAGTAATTGCAACATGAGGTTATCATTCTTTTGAGCGCGCAGGCTTAAATTAAACTAAATGCTTCCCTAGCTCTCCAAAGGGAGTCATTAAGGTTTCATCTGAATGCCTGCTGCTCATATTCGCGCCGCCACAAAGAAGCGCAAACTTCCGACTAAATTATGGCGCAAAATATTAGTTTAAAAGCGCGGCGCTCATTCATTCTTTGTGCCTATTGCAACTCTTCAAAACAAGTGCCCGCATTGAATTTGCCACTCGTATTCAAGCCGCCTGCGCGCATTGTTGTCACGCCGGCATTTTTTATAGGCCATGCGGAAAAAAACGCGCGCCGGTGTCCTGGATTCCATTGTTATGAAAGCGCGGCCCTTAAAAATATGTTTTCTAATACAAACAAAACGGAAAACAAATGTTTCCCGGGCAAGACTTTAGTAAATGTGTTGATAACTGTAAAAATCGGAAACAAAAAGGCATGGAAAGCATCGGTTCCTATGCTTTGAGTTGCAGTATATGTACAGAGCATAGTAAATACAATGCTTTGACTTGCGGTACACGTACAGAGTAAGATTTTCAAACAGGTAAATAACTATGTTTTACTCGTGAAAAAACTTTTTATTATTTAAAAATCTTATGCTTTTGCATAAAAAGGTGAAAATCTTCGCCAGCGGAGGCGACAGCGCGTGAAAAACGCGTGGGTTGTGGAATCAAAGCCGAAGCGCAAAGCGTAAAACTTTGCGGCGGGCGCGGAAGGAAAGCGAGGGCCGGGGGGCGGCAAATCAAAGCGCTGGCGATTCGCAAAGTTACCGAGGTCGCGGCCGCGGCCTGCGGCTAATCGCGATGTGAATGTGGTCGCGAGCAACAAAGCCCCACCCCCGCATGAAAGCAGACATATGCGCGGAATGAAAGAAAATGTTTAAAATGAAAAACCCTGAAAGGCGTCGCCCGCCCCATAACGAATATTACATGCCAGCGCACCGAATATGTTGGAAAGTTTGAAATTAATTAAAGGGGATTTAGGCGGTCGAAGACGGAGATGAGGTACATGGTACTCTAGACATCATAAAATATCAAATATCAACTCATTCTTCTCGAAAAATTCAAAGATTTTCTACTGTTAACACACAGTGGAGGAGTTATTAAGTCACGAGTAAGTGAACATCGCAACTTGGTGAACTTTTAATATCAGCAAACATTGCCGCGTCGACAATGGCTGCCCGCGCATGCGCGTCCATGATATTTAATATTCATCATGTTAGTTACAAGTTCATTAGGCGAGCAATTTGCGCGGAGGCGGCGCGTCGATGAGCAACTAGTGTCTCGCCCTTTCCGCAATGCTTGTGGTTAACGATCCGTACAACACGGTTTGTGCATTCGCGCGCCATTTTTGCGCCGAATTGCTAACGAGCTAACTTATAGCCTGGAGTGGGTGCAAGTCGAAAAGGTCTAATTGACAGATCGGCCGCACATCTTGGAGTTAATTGAAGCGTTCGCCGCAGAAGAATTATTATCGAGTCGAGGTCCTTTTCGGGTCCCCAGGGGCCGGTATCCGGCGGAAACTTGTACACGAGTTTGGGTCTAATGCATTAGATGAGTTGGGGCCAGGGCTGAACTCCCGACCCGGCTAAACGCGCCACAATCGCCAAAGAAGACCGTTAAATTGAAGTTGTTTCGAATTAATCACGAGCATAAAAACACGTCACGCCCGGGGATTACCCTACCACTCAAACAAGCTAACCATAAATAATTTTATTCTGTCATTTTTCCAAACGAAAATATTGGGTTGTAAAGCAGCCAACCCTAAGTCTGCAATTGAATGTGTTCAAGGTTGGGTGCTTTTAAGTTCGCACATGAACTTGATCAGGGATGCCTGACTCCCCTCATCGCTGAGATCATCAACATCATCATTGTCTGGATTCGCGCAGGCAGCTCCCCGCAAACTCTGGTAATCGATTACAGTGTCCTCAAAGTAGTCCTGAATCTCTCGTTCACTCTCATCGATCGCGCAGGCCGTCGCAGAGTCTGCTTTATTCTTCGCCATGGTCTGCAGAATGCTGTATCCGGTGTTCGTGGAGGTGGAAGCCGAATCAAAAATAAACTCGACGTTCATCGCTGGTTTGATCGTGTGGTCCGCGCGCATCGCCTCGTCCTTTTTGGGCTTCGTCTTGGTGGAGGAGATCTTCTTACGTGGCATCGGATTGAATTGCACGGTGCGTTCTTTTGCAATTGAGACGTTCGACTCTATGCTGATGAAGGCAGCCCGCATACGTTCTAGTTCATCCTTCAACTTCCGGTTTTCTTGTTCCATGCGAATTCGCTTGCTGGTTTCACGTTGCAGTTTGCTGTTGAGTGAGGTGATGCTCCGGGCAAATTCTGGTCGACTGCTGGAGTCTATTGATACGGATGTTTTGGATAGGTGGGGGGTGGTGCATACTGATGGGTTGCTGGTGAGCATTGTGTTGGTTTTGGTGCGACGGAGCTGGGAGCAGGAAGCAACCGCTGGTATGTTCTTCACTGGGACTGACCTTGACTTGCCAGCTGGGTAGAAAACACTACACTTTGATTGGGTCTCTGGAAGTGCGGAGCTTGTAAGTGAAGTGGTGGTGAAGCACCACTTGAACTCGGAGACTGAGCTGAAGTTGCGCTTCTCTTTCAACAGATCAAATATTCTTTCGATGGTAGCTGCTTCTAGGTTATTATTTCGGAAATCAGCTATTTCCAGAGATCGACTGTATTCTACAACATCTAGGAGTCTCTGGGAAACTGCTTCTGTGACTCCACACCGTTGCATGTCCAATGCCTTGATCCATAGGTCATCATCCAATTCATCTAGGATGAAGATCAGACCCTGGTCACTAATCCCCGGGTTGTTATTCAGTGTGATCCGACGAAGACCCGCCATGATACCCACGTCCGGATCTTCATACCTTAAAGAATTATGCCAGCTTTCGCAGTACCTGCTGATCTGCTGGGTCTTCACCACTTTAGCAATTGCTTGGGCACTTTTGGCGTCTAGCTTACACCCGGACAGATTCAACACTTCAATGTTGGGCATCTGTCTCAACGCTGAGCACAGGATCTGACAACCCAGGTTACCCACATTACTGTACTTGAAAGCCAGCACCTTGATGACCTTGTTCTGCTGCAGGGCGGCAACCAACACCTCAATATCCTCCACTCCTATGGGTACACCATCCAGTTCCAAACTGGAGAGTACTTGACTATGCAGCAGGCAGTTAGTAAGGGTCTTCACCAAGCTCCTACACACGTATGCTGTATGCAGGGACCCAGCCCTGCGTTTCATCAGCTTGATCTTATCAGGGCAGTCAACGTCATCCAGGAACTTACACTTCGCCCGACTGTGGATGGCGATCACATGCAAACTGGTATCGCGGCGTAGGGCACTCAACAATGGGATCCACTCCTCCGGCTTGATGCGGTCGGCGACAAAGTCCAACACGTTCTCGTTTTTTGGCCTCGCTGGTTTTACATAATTAAGAGGTTGCGTACCTGCCCGCCTGCACAGCTCCGTATACCAAACATAGAATACATGCGCGGGTTTTGCTTCCCCCACCACCGCTGGTTTTTCCTCCTTAGTCAATCGTGCTTTACTCATCGTGGCGCAAATCTTTTTCTTCTAGCGTGTGTAGCAAAAAGATCAGTAAAAAAACGCGTGTAAAAAAATGTAATGATGTGAACGAGTCGGCGGACGATTGAGTGACGTTCCAAATAAAACAACGAGCGCTTGTTTTTCAATCGCCATGACGAACGACGCGCACACTAAGATGCGAGCGAATTAATCCGCATGACATGGTAAAGCCTGGATTTAAACTAAGGGATCGAGAGCACTATCGCGCCCTGCACGAAGCCACGTCCGCGCGGATCGTTACCCGCTGGACCCCTGTGTCAAGGAGCTCGCTCATCCGCCGGCAAATATTGAACATTAGCAAACCGGGAGGCTTGTGTACGTTCACTGAAGATCGAAATACACGCCCGGAAAAAAGCTTTCTAAAAGATTACTTGTGGTTTGAAACTTTTTAATTGTTTCGCCAACGCGTTGGACTTTACATATTCGGAAAAAATATTTGCTTACCCTGTAGTACGAGTACTTACATGTACTCGTAGACGAACGAGGATGGGCTAATGTGCCGCAGTATTTATTAATGGAATAATTAATTGCAGCCACTGCGCATCGGCAGTGCAGACTCTGCAATGTTCTGCAAGCATACAGTGTGTTAGAACACAGTAAAATGTCACCAAATTAGATCCACTGTCGCGTATAATCTATTTTTTCAATTACACAACGTCTACATGCAATATTACACCGAATAAAAAGAAAACGTGTGTTTCCATTGCACGATAAATAATATTTTCCGCTCGACAGCAAACTGAATTTCCGAGTACTCGTACGCGTTTAATAAATGCGCTGCGTGAGTTGCAAAATGTTGCGATATTTCAAGTTAACGCAGTCGGAAAAGCCTGCGAAAAAATATCAAAATATTATCAATAATGCACGTTTTTGTCCTCGTGCCAAATGTTTGATGTAACTCATACCAGCCACGCGCAAAAAAAAAAAACGCTACTATTTTTGGTTGCAGTGTTTTATTCGTTGATGCACGCCCCAGTTTCGGGAAAGAGTGCTCCCAACGAGCACTACATCCGACGGCGACAAATGTGTAACGACAGATCAGCGCGTAATGTGATTAATGCACTCCGGATTCGATTGCGATGCGATACACTACAGGCCGGCCCTTCGAGCAACGTGTTTAATGAATAATTAATTGCGAACTGAGCTCTCGCGGTAATTAAAATATCGATCTAATAATTCCAGCGTGTTTGGCTGATCCGATGACATCGAACTAGGAATTAACAACGAGAATTAATTTTATTGCAGTTGGAGAATTCTGATGTTGAGGGAAAAACTATTATGTGTATTTAAGAAGCAATCGCTTTGGCAAACTTCCTTCCTTCCTGCTTTGCGCTCCAGAAAACTGCGATGACACTGAGCGGGTATACGCTCGGCGATTATCTCCATCTTCTTCGGCATATTGGCGAGAATTTGAGACGTTACGCTATCGTCGCGGATGATCGCTTAGGTTTTTCCACACAATTTGCTCTCCCTCGTGTGGAGTTTTATTTCCATCGTCGATCCATACCGCAATGTTTTTTTTCATTCCCTGGACTTGTATTTTTCAATAACTTTGTTTTCACATCAAAATCGCAATTCGAAGATTTACTGTCAACCGAGCGTCTCGTAAATTAAACGTATCGACACATTCTATTTCGACATCGTCTGTAAATTAAAAGTTGGCCACTGAAGTCGTAAAAGTCACAACGACCAGCGTCATATATCATTTAGCGTGGAAAGAAAAGTTTGCGCGTCGTTAGCAATGACCATCATGTCCTGTGTGGCTATTTACGAGGCGACAGCCAAACAGATTTTTCCCTGGGATGGAATTGCTCTCTTCGGGACAAACTAGCAGAATGTGCCGAGAACTATTTTCATTAAATATTAATAAGCACCTCGGGAAAATTCCTTCTACGTTCAGGAAGAAAATGCTTTTTTAGTAAAAATATCAAAATTTGCATGTCACAATATTGTCTGTTGGATAATAAAGTGTATCTCGAATAAACTCTGCGTGGGATGTCATAGGATGATATCAAACAGCTGTTTGTGCCGTCGACATTAACATCAAAAGACGCGATTTTAGTAGAAAAGAGCTGGAGTGCCTCGAGGTGTTTATACCGTCGCGGTTTTATCATTTATTTCCCGAACAAATAATCTTTGTTGTCGTGGATGTACAAGTACACGCTTCTAAAGCATAGCAGTTTATTTTCGTTTTTACTATTTCTACAAAACAAGTAATTTTTCTTTACCTCTGATTATTAAATGATGATTTTTTTCAATATCGCGTGTTTGATTGGTCGGTTCGACGAGATCGCACACTCGTGCGATCACTGCGTAAATCCGAGAGATTTTCACACATTTTCTTTAAGTTATCCCAAAGCCGCACCAAATCCGCATGTTTTTCAGTCAGCGTCCTCCGCAAAGCAAAAGTCGCAAATCGCGTTCGGTGCGAATCCAAAATAGATCTCTTACATGACACGTAAAATCCTTTAATGTCTCTCGCCGGTTCCTCCGGTTCTGTTTGTTCTTCCAATTTTCGCGCTGCTATCGCCACCGCACTGCGGGCCGCCTGCGATTTTTCGCTCGCTTTTGATTAAATCTGCGCTCGAGCGACGCACGCATAGCTTACTTTTTTGATTTATCGCGGAAGTAAGCCGCTGGGGAGTGGGGGGGGAGGTGGTGGGGAGGCATGAATGCTCTAAAATGCTTTGCATAGTTTGCTTTTTTTCTCAGGCCGCCGGCGACGCGCAGATAGCTAAAAGTACGTCTGTTTGATATTCGATTCGCATCCGCGTGAAAATTCCGACTGTTTTTACTCGCAGAGCTTATCAGAGCCGGTTTTTTCGCCGTGGCATATTTGTCAGTCTTAAAACACGGTGTAATCCTGTCCTGGGAATGGTATACACTAGAATAGCATATGACTTTTGACCAGGTCAGGACGTAACTAAATATGTATGCTTTATTTTTGTTGCTCCGCATATGCGAGCGTCGATTTTTTGGCGCTGAGATGAAAAAATAAGCGCGCGGACGAAGGGTCACAACTTCGAATCATTTATAATAGATTTTCACCTGCGGCGAGAGCAAGCGTTTTCTTTGGCCCGTTCCAACGCAGCACCCCCCCCCCCATCTCCCGGTGGGGTGTCGAGGGCTTTCCGCGCGGCGTCTGTTGTATTTTATTTGCTGGCTGTGGTCGGTTGTTTCGTATTTTGACCGCAATTTGCAAATCCCTTACGTGCATACAGCCGCACACAACTCGTTTATCACTGTCGTTCGCGGTGCTCCACAACAGGATTTAGCTGGCTTTTTGCGTGCAACCACGCGGTAATGCGTAGTTTCTTTCTTTTGTGGTCCATTAATGATTGACTTAGCTGTGTGAATCGTGGAAAACTTCAACACAACAAAATTGCTAATTGATAACTGTACAAAAAAAAATTGTTTATTCAGGCATGGTTAGATTGCTGCATTGAGAGACTAGTAATAGTGGGGAGGGTTGCTGTTATCATCGTAGTCCATCTCCGGACACTGACTGGGGTAGTTATATGAACGGTTTTGATAATCTTCCCCGGGTATCTCCATGTTCCTATAGTGGATCCCAGATGCTGATGGTGTGACATAGTTGTATCGCACGATGTGTTTCTTCGTTGACCATCGATAGGGACCACCTGATGCCGATGAGTCTGATTGCGGGACAGGTGCGAAGCTCCGCGTTGACACCGTCTCTACCAGTTCCTCTTCCCTGCGTCGTTTGGGACATCCACTTCCGTTGGAGGAGGGAGCTACTGACCGATTGGTGACAACCCATTTCCGGTTGATTTTTTTGACGGTTCGTCCGCGTTCGTTGGGGTTATGTGGGCAGGGACTAGGGGGCCCCTTTGAAGTCACCACGCGGGTGATATGTTCACTCCGATACACCACACGATCACCTTTTTTATCGACGTCGTCATATACTGGATTCGGGTTGTATGCCATTTTAATGGGGGTTTATACAGCTTTTTCTATATCTAGAATTACGGAGAATTTTGTAGCGTGTAGAAAGGCTTTTTTAATCAGAACTAAATGACATTGGGTGTGAGGTGTTTGCCCCGTTGCTATGGAAACCTTTTACGTTGCTGTTTTGTTTATTTCGGATGACGTCGCCAGTGTTTCGCGGAATTGAAAAAACCTTTTCCGTGCATGAGAACGTTGTATACAGTATTTCTAATGCTCTGTTCAATTTTGGAAACATTTCTATGTGCGGGTTCATCTTCATCAGGTTCATGTTCTTCAAGGTGATGTTCTTCAGGTTTAGGTTCTCCATGTTCGTGGTCTTCAGGTCCATGTTTTCCATGTCCACGATTCTCAGGTTCATGTTTACCATTTGCATGTTTTTCAGGTCTGTGTTCTCCATGTTCATGTTCTTCAGATTCATGTTTCTCATGTCCATGGGTTCCAGGTCCATGTCCTCTATGTCCATGGTCTTCAGATTCATGTTTGCCATGTTCATATTTTTCAGGTCCCTCTTCAGGTTCATGTTTATCATGGTCTTCATGCTCCATAACCCCCTCCTCTTCATCAAGTTCTCTTTGATTGATAACCGTCGAATGCCAAGCCCCATCCGGGATCCTCTGAGGGTCATACCTGAAAAAGCTACCTGCATGCTCAACTAGAAACGTTGCAAAGTTTCCCAAAGCAATCATATGCTCGCCTTTCATATACTTCGAATCATCCGCCCAGCAAATAACAGGACCAATCATATACCCTAATTGCCTACTACCCATATGGTTAATATCCTCAAATTTACTAATCTGTTCCAAGAGTTTGAACAACCTCCAAAGAATCGATTTGTTTTCACGGGGCAAGGTTTCAATGATCTCTGTTGCTACCCGCAACTGAATTTCTGGATGGACTTCTGTGGGAAATTCAAGTATCCTTTTATAATCATACGATGGTATAAGCGGCTCTACCATCTCACGCAAGAACAGTTTGATTATTCCCGATGCTTCGTAAGCATCTTGGAAATTGGGATGTAGCCCTTTGTTTGCTTCTTCTCGTAGTATCAGTAAACGAGCTTGGGGAGCAGACCTCTGGAAAATATACTCCTGTTTTGCTAGTCTTGGATTGCTTGCAATAAGTTTCATGGCTTGTCTAATAACTGGAGGAATATCTTTCTGATAGTTGTGGAGTATCTCCGTGAGAGGCACTGAAAACTGTTGATATTTGGTGACTTTATAGCTGGGCTTTAGTGGCTTGTCGGTATGCCAGTGGTTCAGGGGTGGTTCGTATGTTCTACGCTTAGGTGGCAGGAATGTAGTGATCACCTCCATGTTGCATTACGTGTACACACAACAACAACAATGCGAATTAATTCTGATCACAGCCTTTACACACTAATTTATGACATATCGATTAATTAATACTGACATTTTGTGATTTAATATTGTTGCAGGAATTGGATTCACCCGCTGTTTCAATGAGCCATAGTTAAATCATAATGGACCTAATGTTTTTACACCTCATCTCTTCGTTGTCGTTTGTTTTTGTGCTAGGTGAGTAAAAAATGTGGTTTTATCTGGAAATACGGTGTTCATGAAAAAGATACGCTTGTATGATTGAGTATGTGTGTTGTAGTCGATGGATTCCCATCGCCACAGAGTGGAGCACACGGCCAGCCACAGGCCGGGCTTCCAGTGCCAACGACACCCTTGCCTGTCGGACTGGCGATGCCCACAGGCGGCATGGGTGTGGGTGTAGGCGGCGTGCGCCGTAACTGGGCTGGTTGGCGCGAGTGGCGGCGCGCTGATCCGACGCTCATCAATAGCCTGTGGAGGAGCAAAATGGGTAACGGCATACGTAAACAACTAGGTTGGTTTTTCTCCTCCTCCCCGGCAAATTATGTTTCCCAGGCCTGACTTTTACGCAACAACTTGTCATCATCAACTACCGATCGGACCATGCCAGCGATACATTTGGGGCACACGTGGGGCGGTGTTTTACATTTTCCGGGGGTACTTTCGTTGCTTTTTGGCTGTACAACTTTCGATGCCTTCCAAATGGGAATTGAATTTTTCTCTCTCTTTTGTTAGCAGCACATTGTAACCTCCTTAATTTGATTGCAACAGATAATGTTGACAAATGTCCAACTCCTCGTTGAACATCAGAAATTCGTATTTGGAAATGGCAACATGTGTTCCTTCCTCCTTGCGTCTCCTCCTCTCAGTTTTATTCTGTCAGCAATTTTCTTGCGCTTTGGAGTTCCCTCAATGCGCCCATTATTAATTCATGCCTTGAAACATGTTTAGGTAATGCCGAAGTGTACATAATGCTAGCGCTGCTGATTGGCCTGGTTACCGTGGTCATCGGCTGCTGGTTGAGCGACAACTGCTGGTCCCCGGAGCCAGAACACGTCGCAACGGTTGCCTGACGGCAGGCCCGCAACGCGTTACTAAACGCGCCGCCCTCTCTACCTTCGCTCGCCATAGTCGCCTCCACGTCTACGTCATCTTCATCAGAGCCCTCCAGCCCTGATTCAGATTGGCCCCTGGTAGACATCTCAGAGGAGGGTAAAGCCAACGGAGGGGAAGGCGCACTCGGTTCCAAAGATGGTCACTCCTGACGGCGCGCCTGCGGGCCGGACTCAACCGCGCCCGCTGACGACAATGATAATAAGGATGCCAGCATCACGGATGACAAGAAGAGCCTGCTGCTCTGCAAACAGAATTCGTTGCCAAATGGAACCCTACTGCTCCCAGACATCAACATCATCAGCGCCTCACCGTGCCCCAAACACAAAGATGGGATACGACCTGGTATCATGAAGCAGCTCAGCGAGGACTGCCCCAAACATAGTCTTGGAGGTGGGTTAGGTGGGGGTTTGCTCAGTATGTGCCCCAAACACAGCTCATTCGACGAGTCCTCTGGACACGTCGCTTATGTTAACGGCTTCGGCAGTAAACTGAGCCTGGGCGGAGGAGGTGGTGGTGACAGGGGCACATCGCCACCCCCACCACCCCCGCCAAAAATAGCATCGCCCAAGGGCGAGAAGGGTAAGGACTACTTGGTCTACGTTGAGCTGGCACGTGACTTTGACGTTCCTTGAAGCTGCTAGACGCCCGGCCCGCTTTCCCGCTGCCCGGACGCGCTTCATTTTGACACTCCCACCTCTTTCCTGCCGCGCCCCTGCGCTGGCCCTTTGTAAGTAAGATATTATGTGTCAACTATGCAGTCAATTACATGTAGCGAGGCGTTGTGAGTCGTTGGTATAACTCTGCACACACAAACACCCTGTATATATGCCCGTGCGCGCGAAATGGCGACTCATATCAATTAACCTTTTATGCCTTCTGTCTTTTACCGGCCGCCGGCGTCGCGGCGCCGGCCTCTTTTGGACGCGTTTAACATTTGCTGTGCCTCTTTCCTCTCCTCCGTCTTGACACTATGTACTTCTATACAGATTCATAACCACCAAATACACGGAATGTAGCGATGCGACGATGATGAAACAAACTTTCGAACGTTTTACCTTTACTACCCTGTAGTATCTTGACGAAAAACTTGCGTAGACTTGCTTTCACTTTGTGCACGGCGCTCACGGCGTCGCTCTTTGAGGAAATTTGTAAAGAACAAGACTGAAATGTACCCTGTAAACTAAAGAAATGAATAATACAAGTATTAAACAAAAACCAACTAAATGAACGTATAACATATAAACTAATAAAGGAATATTCTAAATATTATCGGAGGACGACGTTCCTAAAACGCGAAACGACGTCTTAAAACCGCTCAGTTAACTTGCTCGATTGATTGGTGAACAGATTGATTTCGACGGCCTAATTAAATATATGATTAAACTATTTTTAAACGCATGTATTTATTACGAGTAAATTAAATTAAATTAAACACGGAAATATAATGCGCATGCGTTGACATTATCCTTTCTAATCGGTCTCAACATATATTGAAGAGAAACGCGTGTCTATAGTTCTGCACCTTCTACTGCATACTTAGCTCATCTTAGTCTAGCAATTAGCCGATTTCGAACGTGTCGCAAGTGTAAATAATGTTACCCCTCGAAATCCGCGCCGCTCGCGCCTCCACCATTGTACGTAGAACATGTAAAATACTTGCTAAATGTAGACGAATTTGTTAAGGTTGGCGTGTTTGTGTATTTGCTGCTTGGTTGCGTTTTTTGCCATGATGATGATGAAGATGCCGAAATCTCTCACTCACATTGAAACGATGAACAATTGCTCAACTACATAAAACCCATTCGTAAAGCCCGCGCGCTGAATACGTGCACTCACACGCAACACGAACGTAAAAATAAACGCGAAAACCGACGCGCTAAATATAGTCATTTGTTCGAGAGATTGCGATATTTATCCTAATTACTCTATGAAGTTCGTTCATCATAACTTATTGAAGAAATGATGAGTTTTTCACGGTTTTAAGATGCAAAAAGTTGTAATTTAAACACGGAAGTACTTTAGTCACGGGCTTTAGTCACGTGGTGACCCTTGGAGAATTAAAAAAAAGTGGAAGTAATACGTGGCTAAACATTGTTAAACACTCGATTGATTAACCTCCTCGTGACTAGAACTCCCCTTTAGCCACTTGATGAATTTTCACTGAGCGAACTTCATAACCCACCTAAACGTCTGAATGAATGTCCCCCAACGCAAAACCAACTCAATACGAAGTGAAAAGAAGCAGTAATAACAATGAACAATCACTACATGTATGGATAAAGTCATACTTATCACTTACGTGCGGCTACGAATTGTACTACCTAAGCTGTCAAAAAAAAACTTAATTGATTATCCACATTATTACTACATATGAATATGAATAATATACTACTAATTAATAACTAATATATGCAAATAGTGGGAACAATGTTTATCAATTAACGTAAAATCACCTATTCGATTGTCATACCACTTCTGGGCAGAATGTCGTCATTTGTACTGTATTGTATTGTATCGGCCGGAGAGTACTGTAAACTTTCAGCGCCACATTTGAACGTACTCGTAACATATAGAGAAATATCCACACACACATACACACAACACAACACAACACAACGAGCAGCGGCAATGGAAATTCGCGGACTGGAGTACATATTTAATAAACAGCTAGCGTTTACATAATAAATAAATGACAAAGCCAGATGCAAGGTGTATTCAATTGCCGAATACATTTGTCAAGCATGTATTTAATGTTGACATCGAATATACAACCATATACATAATGTAATATTGTATTAGTTAGTAACTAATTATACATATTGAAGATTTTTATGATATGCTCATTGATGTAAGACATTATTCAAGCAGTATTGTTTTATTATATTGAAATCATTAAACTGGTAAATAAAAACTAACACTACAAAGTTTAATCCTTAAGCAGAGACTCAATTCTTTCATAAATCCGTTTAGTAGCTGCACATCTTCTGTTTTTGCTCTCCTGGAAAATTTTACCTTGTAAATGTTGTGGTTTCGTGTAGATTTTGAACGATTGAGAGACTTGTGTGATGGTTACACGGATGAAATGACACAGGGTCCTCATGTACCTCCGATTGGGTTTCATTCCAGAAATTTCATCCTTGAGGAGATTCATTCTAAGGAAAAAGATTAAAATTTTCCTAGAAATTTATTCCTGATTTTAATGCTTTCCTCATACCGCTTTTCAAGGAATTTCTTACAATTCCTTATGATCCTCAATGGGTTTACTCTGATACAGTTGAATTTCTGCGCGCTCAACTGTGATTTTATTTACAAGTTTGTTTATTGTTATAAATATAAATATTAATCAAGAATCGGTGTACGTTGCGCCATCTAGTGGCGCTGGCACAAATCACCTGACATACTCTGTGCGTTACAAGCACGTTTTGACAGCCGACGATCCAAATTGTTCGTCATCTTCGCTCAGCGTTTCCCATCGTATTCACACATTGGCGGCGTCCGAACCCAGCAGTTCGTGTTTTGTTTCCCGTCAGCTACAGTACACCATCCACGATGCCGTTAGAGAACTTAGAGGATCAAGGGTTAGAAAAAAACCCGAATCTTGAATTGCCGCAGCTCACGTTTCAACTCACGCTGCCTGAGTTTGCCCAAGACAAAACCATCCAACAACGCATCTTAGATGCCATCAAAAGGGATGGTAAGTTGTTTATTACTTATAATATAATACAATACTAAACAACAATTACTTTATCGGATAGATATGGCGCCGTGGTATGAGCTTGTTGCCAGGGATCTGAATTTAAAGCTCGACGTCGCGCTCGTCAAACGCATGAAAACGAAGAATGATGCTCTTGTGCAATCCCTCAATGAAACCATAGAAGACGCAGAGAAGAACCTTGGTGAGATGGAGGTCCGAGAGGCATATCTCAAGAAAGCCGAGCATTACAGCCGCATTGGTGACAAAGATAATGCGGTGACGACGTTCCGACAAGCGTATGATAAAACCGTTTCGCTTGGACATCGTCTTGATATTATCTTCCATCTGATTCGTATTGGTTTCTTTTTCATGGACCATGAACTTATAACCAAGAATATTGAGAAAGCAAAAACGTATGCGACTTTTCCCGGCTTTTATTCTAATATTTCATGAAAAAAACAAATTTTTCTAGGTTGATCGAAGAAGGTGGTGATTGGGACAGGAGAAATAGGTTGAAAGTCTACCAGGGCGTCTACTGCATGATTATTCGTGACTTCAAAGCCGCTTCTGGTCTATTTCTGGACACTATCAGCACGTTTACTAGCTACGAACTCATGGATTACAAGACTTTCGTTCGGTACACCGTATATGTTTCAGTTATTAGTTTGCCTAGGAATAAACTACGTGACCAGGTAAATCTCCACTTAAACCTGCTTAAAAATTATTAATTTTATTATGCGTGATAGGTGGTTAAGGGTTCTGAGATCCTCGAAGTTCTGCACTCGGAACCATTCGTTAAGGATTACTTATTCTCGCTGTACACGTGCCAGTACGGCGAGTTCTTCAGCAAACTCTCACAGGTTGAGGATATTCTCCGTCGTGATTACATGCTGCATCCGCATTATCGTTACTATGTGCGTGAGATGCGTATTCTTGCATACACGCAGCTGCTTGAATCCTACCGGTCCCTGACGTTGGAATACATGGCAGAGGCGTTCGGCGTCAGTAAAGCATTCGTAGACAAGTATTCCACTGACAAATACAACATTTGATGTATTATTCTAACTGGATTGTTATTTTCACAGGGAATTGTCGACGTTTATCGCGTCTGGACGTCTCCATTGCCGGATTGATCGCATCGGTGGCATCGTTGAGACAAACCGACCCGTGCTGAAGATCGCACAGTTTCATGGCGTTGTCAAACAGGGTGACTTACTACTTAATCGCGTGCAGAAATTGTCAAGGGTTATTAATATCTGAAACGGCACTGTGTGTTGGCGCCGTTACGTATTATGCATAAATCATGTACTCGTGAAAGTTCTTAGCTTTTCTTTTAATTTATCTGGTCTCTCATCTTTTTTTTTATTACAATTGAATGAAGGTTTATATCTAATTAGTTCTATGATCGTAGAATATCATTGAATCAGTTTCACGAATACAATCTTATACACTACACACTACACAATAAAGTGTATGGTTTTTTTGTGTCTACCTGTTTCCTACTTGTTTGTGAGAATATCGACTTTGTAATTTACTTTGAAGGTTATATTCAGCTACATGACTAGGTATTTTGTATACTTTGTCTCTAAATGATTATAATTATCTATTTATTTATGTAACTACTGTTCCAGTGAGTCAGTTGTGATTCTGTAGACATTCCGCAAACATGCGTGCTGCGTTTGTAAAGATAAATCAAGTTCCTACGCGGGTTGCCTGCTGGGGAAAATGGATAGAAGAATCATTCAGCGAAGATGATTGTAAGGATATAGTGCTCATGATTGCTGGGAATCCAGGTATCACTGGGTACTATGAGCAGTTTCTGCAGACTATTCACCAGGAGACAGGGTACAATGTCTGGGCTCTTAGTCATGCAGGTCATGAAGATCCACAATCGGAGAGAATCATGAAGATGCCTCGGTTGGAAGGTAATTCGGACTTGTACAACTTAAAAGGACAAATTGCTCATAAAGTAAGTGATATATATAGTAGATTAGTGTTTTTTTTTTGTGTTCAATTGCATTGTATTTGTTTTAGATTGCATTTGTAAAACAATATGTGCCCTCGGATGCAAGAGTTCACATCTTGGGTCATTCCATTGGTGCATACATGTGTACAAATATGCTGGATGATCCTAGAATTCACAAAGCATATTTACTCTTTCCAACTATTGAAAGAATGGCAGACTCGCCCAACGGACGCTTTTATGTTCGTTTCGTGCAACGAATTCAAACTATTTTACTTATCCTGTCATATTTATTCTCCCTATTGCCGCAAATAATTCGTAATTTAGTTGGAGTTGTAATACTGTATCTAGGCGGGTTTGATCGCGCTTTTCTACAGCCTATGCTAACATTAAGTTCTCCTAGCGTCGCGCGAAAGGTCATGTTTCTTGCAGATGATGAGATGGCCAGTGTGAGACAGCGTAACGATGCGTTGATCAAAGCTCATCAGGATAAGATTGTTGGTTATTATGGGCAAACAGATGGTTGGACACCGATTAAATACTACGAGGACATTCGCAGGGACATCCCTGGTGTACAGGTCCAACTTGCAAGCAAAGAATTTGAACATGCGTATGTTTTAAAACACAGTCGGGAAGTGGCGATGGTTATATCAGATTTAATTCGGGCAAATTAGGTTGATTTATTTATTTATTAGAACATTCCTATAGAATAGAGCAAAGCATCACACTATACATGAGATTAATAATTTACTAGGCGTCAAAGGTGTTTGTTTATAGTTGAAATACAGTTTTATTATCTTTGGAACCGGTTTATCCTTCTATCAAAACCGTCCCGGTTGTTTGGAACACTTCTCAATCCATTACCTTGATTTAGTCTTCTATCAAAACTGTCTGAAACGCGTCGTGTTGGTAATTGCGGTGTGTGTTTTATTGAAGATTGTTGTTGGTACGTTGCTACTGGTTGACTTGACCGGTAAGAGGGATAAGTTTCCCCGTATGAAATCTGTTTATACTCGGTTTCTTCATTGGGCTGTAACCACCACACCAAGAAGATAATTCCGCCTGCTGCTAGCAGGAGGACAAGCGCAGGTATGAGAAATGTTTTGAAGAATTTATATTTCTGTAGGTATTGAACTATATAGAGGAATTTTGATAGAAACTTCATGATTATCATTGGTAGGATTCCAAACAGACCCATTCCATGGAATGTATCAGCCAAGCCATGCTCCTCACCGTATTTATAACTTTGTGCGCCATAATTGTCCCCGTAACCATCACTGTCGCCATAATAATCATTAGTGAATTCAAATTTACCGAAAATAATTTCGATGATTTTTGGAAATGCTTTCTTCAATTTGTCTAGTACTTTATCAATAATCTTTTCGAATACCTTATCGAATACATCGGACTTCTTATCATCTTTCTTCACTTTGAATAGTTTTGTTTCTTTGTTCTTGCCGTAGCCGTCGTCGTAACTGTCGTAATTATTGTAACTGTCGTATTCATTACTCCTGAGTTGTGGAGCTGGTCTGAGTAGTTGTGGAAGCAGTGGTTGATTCAGACGCTGTCGTTGTTGGTACATCCGGTGATCTAAAAGAGCAAGGTTTGTTATCAAGAGAGCAACGCGCATTATTGCGTACCTAACTGTTTTCTTACGTCTGCAATCTTCGCATTGATGTCGTCAAACACTCGGGGAACTTCTGGTTTAGGGTAAACTGGTGGTGGTTCTGCTTCAACCATGTTGTTCTCATCGTAAACACCGAGGATATTCCCGAGGAGTGCGCCCAGAGTGTTGATAACCTCTTCGTTGCGATGGATGGCAGAGTGGACATCTATACCACGACGTTTTCGGTAATTTTGGTAACTCCTTGCTGCTGGGGGATGTTGGTATTCTCCTTGAGGTTGTGTTTCCGCTTGGGGTTGAGCTGGAGCTGCATAAACTGCAGGTGGTTGTGGTTGGGGTTGAAGAGGAACAGAATGCGGTTGAGTTTCTTGTTCCGCTGGTGCGGAATAGCTTTGACCTGGACCAGGCCCTGCAGCAGCTGGTGCGTAGACATCAGAATGTGGGGCAACGTAAGCTGTTTCAGATTGGGCAGACCCTGGACCACCACTGTAAGGTGTATCCTGTAAAGTGTTTACGACACCTTTCAGTTCGCTAATCTGCTTGTTCAGATTGTACACAATTGCTTTATCTTCAGGTTTCTGTACGTATTCTGGTTTGTTAAAGGTATTGATAACACCTTGCAGTTCGTAAATTTGATTCTTTAGGTCTGTTACTGAGGCAGGGCCCAGGTTGTTAGACGTTGGTTGATTTTGATAAGATTGAGCCGCGCCTGGCGTTCCAGAATTTTGTTGCGGGTGATAAGAGCTACCAGGAGACTCTTGCGCCGCGGGAAAAAACGATTTATAGTTGGCCACACCAGCGCCCTGATAAGAACCAGCACCTGATGCAGAGGCGGTAGCACTACCAAAATATTTCGAAGAACCATATGATCCCGAATTAGCTATATTTGCAGGAGACGCGTAGGAAGCACCTCCTTGATAACCAGAATACACAGGATATCCACCATGATAACCTGCATAACCAGGATAAACAGGGGTCCCGAATTGATTTGTGGGAATGTTGCTGTACATGTCTTGATTTCCATAGAAGTGGTCTGCGTTTCCGAACATAGGACCGTATTTGTTTGGTCCGTATGATGGACCACCTTGCCCAGCACTTGATCCATGTCCGTATTGCCCAAAACCTTCGTGAGCATAACCTGAAGGCCCACCGGCACCATAGAACCCACTATCTGCTTGACCAGCTGCATAGGTACCTCCTGGTCCTATAGGTGTGACATGCCAATGAGGACCAAAGTCTTCTCCATGTCCATAACCATGTCCCTGGCCATGTCCAGATCCATATAAACTATGTTCTGAGTCTGTACCTCCTCCTAAATCACCTACATCAGAATAATCACTACCCCCTCCTGAATTACCCTGTTTCATTGCCATGATACGCCTTCGAAGTGCCTTTATCTGCGCCTGGGATAATTTCCTTCTTCTGTGAGGAATTCCACCTCCGGAACCACCAGCATTGATCAGTTTTTCAATGGTGACATCTAAACTTCCATTCTTCTCTTCCAGGTCATCAAACAGGTCATCGTCATCTGTGCTTAAACTCTTGATACTTTTCTGTAGGGCCTTTAATTCGTCTAGGACCTCATCATCATCCAAACTTTTACTCTCAGTTTGCTGATTCTTCTTCTTGATCATCTTTACCAGTAGACGTTTCAATTGTGCATTATCCCCTAGATCACTATCATCCGATTTACTCTGAATGGACTGGCTTGATGAATGTGTCAGTTGTCTCTCCAGGTTCTTGAGTTGGTCTTCCAACTGCTGCTTCTTTCTGCGTTTCATCTGCTTTTCCAGGGTTTGAATACGACGTTGTATCTCATCATCAGAATCAGAGTCGAGTGATTTAAGAAGACTTTCAACAGAAGAGGTGGATTTTTCAGGAGTGAGTACGCTCAGTAATGCGTCTAGTTCATCTTCAGAAGCTCTTTCGGAAGCTGAAGCAGATCTTCCTTGTGTTTGACTTAATAGAGATCCATTCTGGTTGATTGCGAATGGAGGTTGTCCGGAAGGTGGTCGCATTGCTACCACTTCAGTATTACCACCAGAGGTAGCAGGTTGATGTTGCATATTTGACAATTTTTTCTCCAACAAAGAAAGCTCCTGAATCATCTGAGTGATATCCTGTGAAGCTTTTGGAGATTCTGTAGTAGTGGTGGTAGTGCTTTGCTTCCTAACAGCTTTCATCTCTACAAGGACACCTTGTAACAAGTTCTTCAAATTGGTTATCTCCAATTGTTGCTTATCCAATTTATCCTGCACTTCTGCTTTATGCGTATCTTTAAATTTTGAAATCTCCGCTTTGGGTTGAGCATTCTCAATCTGATTCTGAAGCTTCCTCATTTCATCTCGTAAAGTATCATATTGTTGATGCTCACTGGTTTTTGAATGGACCACATCTGTGTCCACATGTTTCTGAGCAGGAACATCAAGGGAATTTAAAATGTACCTTTGATCTTTGATGACATTAACGAGGTCTTTAAGTTTTGCAACTTCTCTCCGAAGCTCCCGAGCTTCATCAGCATCATCGGATTCGGTAACTCGTCTGGGCATTTCCAGGAGGTGGTATTTGTCGATACACTTTTGTTTTTCCTTTGTCAGAGTGGACTTGATCAGATTCTCAATGAACGCATCGTCGTCTTCGATAAAATTGTTGTCTGCATCTCGTTTGAGGCGTTTTAGAAGCAAATTGCATTCGCGTTCTGAAATTTTAAGAATGTTACCTGGTTTTGAGGTCATTAACCTTTCGCAAACAAATTTAGTTTAACTTTTATGCAGTTGTTAGTACCTTCTGGGTTTTTCTCCAGAGATCTGGCATTGCACTTATTGGGGACCAAATTTAGGAGTACTATTAACGTAAATACAAAAAGTCGAGACTTAGAATCCATGATTTAAGACTTAGAAACTCTCAGAATTAAAAGCAACTTATCGACATCATCGTCATCAATAAACTAATTTGCCAACGGCTTGATCACAAACGGCGAATAACGTTTATTCTGTCCACAATGCATTTTTTTACTTTTTAAAATTGCGAACGTAGCTGGAATGTCAGCGACAATTGGAATTGCATAGCAAGCAAAATCACAGAATTTGACCCAAATTTGCAAGCGATATAATTCAAACCATTGCATTTATTGAATATTCAAAGATTTGTTTATGCGCTAGTGCGTTTGCGCAGGTCACACCAGGAGGCAACCACGCCGCCCCACAGATCGTCTCCAGCCTCCGTGTTACGGTCGGCGAGCATCGGCCACGGCCGGGGGCGCGCGCGCGTCACCGAATTCACGATATCGACGCGCGACCCATTGTGTTGCGCTCCTTCGTTGGCGGCGCGGTTGCGGCCGGAGCCCGCAGAGCGCGCTGCCGCCGCCGCCGAGCATAACGCGTGCGCCCCTCTGTTCGGTGGACTCGAGCACGGACGTACGGGCTCCGACCACCGACCGGGCGTTACTGACACAGAGAAAATCTAGGTGAATGCGACTTGGCACAAGTTTTAGGAATGAAAACAACCCCATGCTAAATTTTATCTTGAATTTTGTCTTTGGAGAAGCTATATGTTGAATTTATCAATTTATATAAATATTGGTGGGGGTATTTTAGAAGTGGTTGGCATTCTGTGTAAATTTCTGTGTTGTTTTGATCATTTTCTTCGTTTGGACTTAGAATTCTGAATATGGATCTGACACGGATGGTTCGTAAAGCTTGGGGACAAGGGTGTACGCCGCACATCGGCGGCGGCATGCCTCTCACTCTCGTCAGCAGGCCGTCTCCCTCGGCGGGGCGCGACTTACGTCCGGCTCGTATCGCGCCAGCAGCGCGCCGCCGATAGACGTTCGCACGCCGTCGTCGGGTACGCGATCCGGCCTGGCGTCCCGTCAACCGCCACAACGCGCCCTAATCGTGTGTGCATCCGCGTTTGCCAGCGTCAACTGCCGCCGCGAAACTCCCGCAATCGCCCGGAATCTTTACGACCACCGCCGCCTCCAACGCTCAACCCGAGTGGCCTCGCAACGGGCCGCCAAATTCATCGACGCAAGTATGGCCGTCGTCCGCCGCCGCGCGCCCGACCTAGTTGAGTGCGTGTTTTGCAACCCACTTTCGATACATTAGTGCCCCTCAACTGCACCACGGATGCCCACCCGCTCAAAATCAACTGCGAAACCTGTGCGGAAACACCGCCGGCCGCTAGGAGGGTGTTCTCCAGCGGGTAGGTGGGACGCCATTTTGGTCCGCGTCGTATACGTACAGTGGAGCGTTTGTGCCAACTTTACGAAACACAATAATCATCATCTCAACCCATTAGAATCCAGTGGAGATTTGTGCGCAGACTGGAAAGAATATCTCAGACAGTGTTTTCCCAAAAGGACTGAAGCCATTGTACCAATCGCCCAATGAAAAAAGGTTTTGCAAAAAATGGGTCATCCGATGGGAAAACTAGAGTTTGTGTTACAGTGCAGATGTTCAGTGAGTTTATGTGGCTAGGTGTGTTGTTCGGAATGAAAAACAACCCTTGGATAGGCATACAACAACAGTGAGGGTATAAAATTCAATTCCTAGTTGCAGTCCACCCACAATAAACATTAACTCACCAGGATAGAGGATAAAAGTCTAAACTAACAGAAAACTTTCCGCATTTACATTAAATTTCGACTTTTTTCAACCGGTCAACTTTGTTTTGATCAAACTTTAGACTTTTCACATAGAGCTAAAAAAAGATCAGGTTGTATACAACATTCGTTGAGGATAGAGCTAAAAGTTGCTACCGAATGCTCAATATTAATTATTTACGCGCATCATCCGCAGTCCAGAAACTTGGACGTTTCTAAATTTAGTTTCAAACTAGGAAAAGAGTGAAAGCTGTTTTGACCGGACAACAATTTTTGAAAAACCCTCATGCACGAAGTTTATTATTTAACACAGTTGCAAAAATTAACTTGAAACATTCCAAATTGTTTGGTAAAAGTTAATTTTTGAAATTGGATTATTTCTTGCGTTTCGTTTGCAAATTGGATGTATTTTCATATCATGCATGTTTCAGTAATTCGTCTAGTTGGATACTTTCTATTTTTTGTTTGGAAACTTGGACGGTAATGCATGTAAACAACAAAATTGGATTGTATTGTTTGCTTTCCACCTGGTTGCAGGAACAGTACATATCGGCGGCTATTTTTAGACCTTCTGCTACTCCATTAAATATTTGACAGCCACATTTCTGGTCTGTGCACAAAACTTCCATTTTCCGTTTTGCAAAACACAACAAGCAACGAGGGTGGCAGCCGGTGGGCAGCGGGGCAGTGACGCAAAACGCACATTCAACATTTTTGGGCAAACCTATTTCGGCGCGCGATACCAGCACCAATTTGGATATGTAAACGAAGTGGTTTTTCAGGAACTTGTGACCAGGGATAAACGCAGGTGCGTTCCCACATCGCACACCAGCCGCACACAGAGGATTACTGTATGAAAATAGTTAATAAAATTGCTTGTCGTGGAATCGACGCCTAAATAAATTGTGTTGCAAACAATCGGCTGTTCGGAACGTGAACAAAACAGGTGAGTGCCAATCGCAATCCGAGGAAATTCAATCAGCACGTCAATGCTGCATGTGAATTTAACAGTCAACAGCCGTTTTCCACGAAATCGAAAATTTTACTATTGTGCAATTCACGTGATTCACGCTCGTGATAAAATATTTCGATTCGTGGAAAATAGCAATCATTTTCATTACCCGAAATTCCGCGAGCAATTTATATGAAAATAATAAAAGCGCAACAGCGATGTTTTCCAATTTGTTGAGTTGAATTTATTATTTGTGTTCGCCTCGCTGACGTTTCTATTAAATTGCCGCTCTTTTCTGATCCTGCTTTATTTCTCCGCTGCTTGAGAACTCAAGTTTCATTTGGCGTTTTGTTTACGTCGCCGATTTTATAGATTTTCTTTAAAATTTTTTTTTTTATTTGAAACTTGCGGTATTTCTTGTTTACCTTTGAGGGTTATCGATGCATGAGCCCTGCGCCCACCCAATTAATTCTGACGAGCGTCTCGCTTGTTCTTCCTCTGTCGCAGGTGGACGCTCTGCTGGGATGCTTTAGGCGGGGTTGCGGGGGGCCGTCCCCCCTTCTAACCTGGCGCCGCCATCACGGATCACCACGGCGACCGGCACAGGTGAGCCCGTCTCCGGCGCGCAATCCCGATGCGATGTTGAACGCGATGTCATGTGCGATGCACACACAAATTGGCACAGCCTCATTGGTCCCTCGCAGAGTGCATATAAAAAATAAATAAATACGAGCGGATGACGCGGATGCGCACGGTCGGCGGAAATTGCGGCAAAGTTGGAAATAATTGCTCGGAAAAAGTGAGCAATTAAATATTTTCAAGCGCGATGTAGAAAAATGCCGCAGTTTACCCAGTTTGGCGGGTTGAAAAACGATCGCATCGATTTCATTTGACGCGCGCGTTTATTATTATTTTTTTTTTGAGTTGCTGGGAAAGTTCTAAACGTTCGCACGCGACATTAAATTAGGAAATGACGCGGATCCGCACGCGTTATATTTCGGCGCGTTTTTGGGGAAAGTTGAATTGCAGAGTGGAAAACATGAACATCCCAGACTATTGATTAGTCCGGCAGATACGGCGCCTGCTGCCGACAACAACGGAGCGAGCGTTCGCCGCGCGGCGTTGGTGCGGCGGCGGTGGAGGCGGCAGAGGGGCAAGCAGAGCGTGCTCGCCCCGCGGCCCGCTGCCCCCACCGGGTGTGCGACTCTAACACCGAACCGGCGACCTTAGCGAATGTGGCGCGAGGAAAACCCAAACGCAAAACGCGACTTATAAGATGACTCAAATGTCTCACACTGTGTTAAAAATCACAAAACAAAAAAAAAATTTCATTAGAAATTTAGAACGGCACTGTGTGACATAGGCAAATACAGTGGTAGTTACAATGTTTATCACATACTGTATACACTGAAATAAGGGGTTCAAAATGGTGAAAATCGATTTTCTTATCCTACATTCGCGCGGCGTTTGCTTCACCTTCTGTGGCGGTCTCGCGCGCTGTTCCGTCTCACATCTGCGTGCCGCCTCCACCGCGCGCCCCGCCGGCGATACCCACATAACCCAAATAACCAGCGCGCGCTCAACTGTCTGCTACACTTGCGTGACTGACTGAACCTGAAGCCGATTCCTGCACCACGCCGAGATAAATCTTTGATGAAGATGATGACGATAATGATAGTTGAGGGAATTTCACCGCGGCATTAAAAATCGATCCGTCGTATAGACACGAGGGTTTGGCCAATTTGGTACGCGCAGCATCGCATTAGGGTTCCTGTTGTTGTCCTGACAGACGGAGAGGGGCGGTTACTAATTACAGGATTGTTCTTGCAGATGTCTTGACAGCGGGCCCGGGGCCACCAGGATGCCTACGGACGACGACTATGGAAGGAGACAACAAATCACTCTGCAACAACAGCAACAACAGCAGCAGCAACAACAACAGCAAGCTGCGACGTGTCCTGCTGGCTGTCCTGCTGCTGGCGGTGGCAACGATACGCGCTATGCGTCCACCGCGCCCTCCTCGGGTGGGTCGGGTGCGGGCGAGAAGACGCTATTGTCGGCGGAGTTGTCGCGCTTCGCCGCCGAGCGATCGCATTCCGACCGGCTACCATCTGGTGAGCGGTACCATGGCGCCTCCGAACGCTATCCGCTGGGTGGCGTGCAGCAAGCGGCCATCTCTTCGGAAAGGCTACATTATTACGAACGCGGTTGTCAGAGGTACGCGGAGCGAGAACGCGAGCGTTACCAGGGTAGCGCGCACCTGGGGGCGGCTAGTGTCAGCACGAGCAGTGGCATGGGTTCGCTCGACCGTTACTATAGCGGTACCGCGGCGCAGTTGGAGCGCGATGCTCGTGAACGCTATGCGAGGACCGGCACGCCGACGGAACGGTACCTTGGTCTCGCCACCGACGAACGCAAGGAGCGATGCGGTAGTAGCACCTCCGACCGTTACACGCCTGATAAATACGACCGCCATGAGCGACATTCATCCGCGCAAAATGTCTGCTCCGACCGCTTTACCCCCACCGAACGCGAGCGTGACCGTGATCGGGACCGTGAAAGGGAACGCGACCGCAGCGAGCGCCGACGTGAGGAAGCCTACCACCATCACGGGTCCAAGACCCTCCCGCCCGAGATCTACAAGTACAACAAGGAACGTTCGGTTCCCGCTGGACGTTATCAGAGCGGAAGTGGCGTTGGCGGTGGCGGCGGGCACCACCAGAGCCGCGCCACTATGGAGCCGTACATGTCTTTCGCTGATCGCTTCCCGCCCATCCCGTGCCCCGAGCGTTTCGCCAGCGGAGGTGGCGGCTCCGCACCGCAGCAACAAGGCGACCTCAAATTCGCAACTACTCAAGTACCTTACATGGAACCGCCGTCGCCCGCGCCAGCCGGCGACCGCTTCATCCCGCCGCCGCCACTCTCGCCAACGCACACGCCCCCAAGCCCGGAGGCGTGCTACCCTTCACAACCGTTCCCCTCCCCGACGCCGCAGCAACCGGAGCAACCACGCTTCATCCCGCCGCCGCCGCTCTCGCCATCGCCCACCGACAGCTACGCCAAGACGCTGGACCGCTACGAGAAGGCCGCCAAGTACCACCACCAGCAGCACGGTCACCAGCTCGGACACCAGCACGCCGGCCACCAACACCAAGACGCCAGCCACCGCTACTCGTCGACGTCGCCCAATCCCGACCGGTATTATGGCCAGCATCGGGGATACTACGCCGCCGACCGCCTAACACCCAACTGTGAATCCGGCGGTGGGAGGTATGCGGAACCACGCTACGTACCACCAAACGCGCATATGCCTGTTGAGCGCTATGTCCCACAACTACCCCCACAACAACCAGTTGGTGAATATGGTGTGGGAGCTGGTGGGGGAGCCGGAGCCTACCATCAATTTTACCCTGGAGCTGGTACACCTCAGAAGTACCCCGCACAGGACCCCTATATGCGGCGTGATCTTGCATTCCATTACCGCCTCCCAGTGCCGTACCCGCAATACCAAACAGGGACAGGCACGCATTCTTCCCAGCGTTCTATGCGCTACGTAGGCACGCCTAGTCGCATGAAGTGTTGCGGGTACCAGGACGGGTACCAGCTGACGAAATCATCACCAGGCTCGTCCTCAAGCAGCTCAGTCACCAGCCACGGCAAGGATGGCAGTATGCAGGATATTCAGTGCCAAAGTTATCTCCCGGTTGGGGCGCAGCTACACCAGGAGAAGGGCATTCAGTGCAACAAGGACGTGCAGTGCTCCGGCATCAGCGTGGGTACACTGCGTGCAAAGGCCAACGGTGGCAGCGCCCAGTGTCGCCATGGGCTGTGTGCATCGCCCAGCGTGGAGTACATGGGCGCATCAGGCGGTCGACTGGTGAGCGCCACGCCGCCCCCACGTGGTAGCATTGGTTCCGGCGATGGGTCCGTCTGTAGTGATCCCTGCTGCGGACGGAAAGCCACCGGTCAGCCAACGCAAGGATCCCTCACCGTTGCTATTTGGTAAGAGAAAAAACTCATCAAAAATCCATCCTTACGCGGCGCGTGCTAAACTATGCCGTGTTTAGTTTATTGATTAATGCGTAGGTGTGGCGACTCCCGCGCGACGGAATGCACGCACCGGTTTTTCGCTCGCGTCGCCCGCTTAGTTTTTCGATGCCGGCGGGGATAATGCAGGGCATTTAATTAAAAAACAACATGCGCGTATATCCAGGGCACGCGCAGCATCCAGCGCATGAACGTCGAGTAAAAGGAAACCGCAAAAATAATTTACCGATGAATAATTAAAATCGGAATTGGAAATTCCGTAGAAAACTCGTAATGTGGTCTTTATTGTTGCCTTGGGGGTATTTTTCTCCTGAAATCGATAAGATACACGCAATTTCACTAAAAAATACATAACCAACTCCTTCGATTCAATCTTTTCGATCAACTAGTTATAGTTTCTATATTTTTTCCATTATATGGAAGTTTACACGAAGGTGAACAGGTATACCAAGCAAATATAGTAGATAAACTGAACGTGAGTCAGTTTACTACTGCGCAATGCGCATCTGACTTACCGGCTCTCCCCACTGACGCAACACATGCGCTGAATTCACTGCGACGCTCGGGACGCGACTTGGTTAGTCGAAAATTATCTCTGTATGGGCTTAGTATGCTTTTATTTGTTGACGCGCGTTGTCACGTATTCGAAATGAACGAAATTTCATATTCGTCGCTTCCAGAGTGTTCAAATTAAGTTAGTTGTGAAGATGAAGCGTGAAAATACAGATGACAATCCAGAGAACAATTGACAATCACGCGATAATTGACTTATCTTCAATTATCACGTATAGAAGAGAAAACATCAATGACATCTTGTCAAAATGGAGCTACAAGATTTGTAAGTGACTAGTGAATTCTTGCGTTGCTTAGATAACCGCATTCTTGAAACTATTAAACGTAAACAAATACTCGTTGAGTATGTACACAGTGTAGCATAACCTCAGTATAGACTTAAGTTGTGTTGAAGCAGATGCGTTCCATGCTTAAGTCGGTTGATGTGGGCGTGAGTCATTCGCGGTCACTTGCACTTGAGTGATTAGTTTTTTTTTTCTACCAGAAATGTTTCGCAAATACTCGTTGTTGATTAATTTCGTAACACTCAAGATAAATGAGTTATCTGTGTAAAAATGAAACAGTGTTAGTAAACAGTTAGCGTCTGGAAACTAGAAAAGCGAAATTAGTCGGCTCGGGACGTTTTCATTCATCATAAAACAATTCGAAACTTAGCGCCCGGATTGACTGAGCGCGCCGCATGGAAATTTCGGTAACTGGCGGCGGCGGCGGCCGTAAATCATGCGCCACGCGAGCGACATGCGTTTTGCGTTCGCTCCGGCGGCGTTCTTTGTGTGTGTGCGAGGCGCAATTTTCCGCGGCGCGCTGCTCCGAATTAATTCCGCACAATTAACTGCGTTCGCGCTTAATATACTTTCAAAAGTTGTGCGCGCACAAGAAATTCGTTTGAAAACATTTCAGCCGCGGCGAATGAATATGTTTGCGTGTTTCCTGCCACTCGCACCATAAAAAAATCAACCTGCCTGCGCTGGAAATTGTTAAAATATGATTAGCTATCGCGCGGAAATCTGCGCAATTAAATTGTTGCCCAATTAGACCAGCCAGAATTATTTTAATGCTAAAAGCAAAGTACATGTTTGGGGTCAAACCCAACATTCATGTCTGATGACGCCGGTGTGGGGTAGGAAGCTGTGGATCGCAAATCGTGAATCGCGAATCTGCCGCTTCGGGAAGCGGCAACCACGCCGCCGCCCCCGCACGCCGGCGGACTGCAGGAGTTTTCAGGCACAGTTGTGGGTCATTACATTATTGATCGTGCCCGCGGGGGCGGTGGGCGGCGAGTGGCAGAAGTGGAACGCGAGGAGCGTTGCGCGCGCGTACTGCCCGCCGCCCCCACTACATGGCTCTACTTGCGCCCGCATGAATTCTGTATAGGTCATAATTTTAATTAACCGTGTGCACGAGTTTCGCTTTGGGGAAAAATTCCGACGAAAAACTAGCAAATATGTCAACGACCCAAGTTTTTCAGCCAACTTTTAAATTTCATCGTTTGTTTGAGGCAAATTAGAGCAAATAATGTCTTTATTTTATGATTAAAGGGAACACAGCGCTGCTAGAAGCTTTCTCGCGCTTTATTCCGCGTTAATTAAAAGTAATTAGCGCGCGTGGAGTTGTCTAGACGGTTTCTTCTTACACTTTGCGCTTCTTACTTAATACTTTGTGCGTTGCCCTTCGTGCTGTGCACATTCCATCCTGTTAAATCATTATCATTAACACGCTGTCTATGTGTTCCTTGATAAAACAATTTTGCGCCAACGCTAGTCCCGCACCGCAGTTAATTCATATTTCATAATATATTTGCTGTGGAAATTTAACCTGCTGACTTACATCGCGTTGGGGCAAAAAGAAATAAGCGCTTGAGACCGCAGCGGCTGGTCGCAAGGTTAAAGTTATTAGTTTCCTTGTTGCGTCCGGGCGGGTGATCGCGTGCCGCCCGCCGTCGTCGCCCGCCCCCACGCCGCGCGCCAACTAACCAACTAACGCAATGTTGAAGTCAATAACATAATTCTGAAAACGCCCACACCCTGCATCCACAACCGGTTACAATAACTGGAGTATATTTGATGGTATTCCATTCTATTCTTGTAGGAGAGCACCCACATCACAATCCAGCAGCCAGACCTCACAGTCCACTTCAACGCAACATGCAGGAGGTGCTCAGCAGAAACTCCAGACACCCTCGCCGGCTGGTACAACGCACAACTCCAGCGAACATCTCCAGGGTCAGCTTGATGAGGCGTCCGCTGCGATGGTGGGCAGCATGCAGCGCGCCGCCTCCCCGAAACCATCTCCGGGCCACCGGGCGGTTTCGCTGCCTTCTGCTTCGCATGACCCACCGCAACAATCACCCGCCGAACGGGCGCCTCCCAGCCGCCCTATCAACTATTCGCAGAGTGAGCGTATTACGCGTGAGCGTCCCCGACTTATGCGGAACCATTCCCGCAAGGAGGTCATCAAGAACTACATCAAACGCGAGACAGCGACCTTTTTTGGTGTTTGCGAGGATAATACCAGTGTGCAGGAGCGACGATGGTTGGAAAGGCGTAAGAGGATGGCCACACGTACCTACAGCGCGTTGAAAGATGAGAGCGAGTTACCAGAACGCTTGAGGAAGAGGTACCGGTCAGCGGCGGCTGATATGCATCGAAATGCACCCAGCTCGATGGCACAGGCACCGATGGATGTACGTCCTGATGTGCTGCCGGGTCCCAGCGATGTGACTGATGCAAATGTTGGAGGTGTTGGTGGTATGCCCATGAGATTGGATGAGGATGTCCGCGCGAAGGATTCGGTTGCCCGGATGACTTGGGATGGGTTGTCCTATGTTGTAACGGTGGGTTTTGCTCTCTTTTTTTGATTTGTAATGGTTTTATTTGTAATTGTGATTGACAGACCCTGACGCGGCACCAGCAACGTGATCGCCCCACGCAGACCTCACGAAGTTACCCGCCTGATGTCCCACCAGCGCGCCTACCTCCCGAAGAGAGTATTTTCTTTGGTCGACCGCATAGCGGCGCAACACCTGCTAGTAGTCCCGACGCTATCGACCGAGGTTCTAGTGAGGAGGTGCCATTGCGACACCCACCATTCCGCAGCAGCCACGTTGGGTGGCGGCGCGATCCGCATCATATCTCGCGTGCCGAGCAGGCGCGCCCCAGTGTCGGCGGGTCGCGGATCAGCCTCGCCGTGCTGGACCGTGCGTTGGACAACTCCGATCGCCGGCAGTACGGCATGGGTTGGGTGGGTAAGATGTTTGGCAGGTCGATGCGGAAGACGATTGCCGCCGACTCGAAAGTGCGAGCTCAACTTGACGATATGGAGGACTACCGGCCGATGTTCACCTACTGGGTGACCACCGTGCAGATCCTCGTGATGGTCATTTCAATCATCTGCTATGGAATTGGTCCGTTCGGGTTGGACATGCAGGCGCGCTCCGGGCAGGTGCTGGTGACATCCCTCTCTCTACAGCAGGTGGATTTTCGTGAACCAGCCAATTTCTGGTTTGGTCCGCGTGCAGCTGACCTCATCCATCTGGGAGCTAAGTTTTCACCGTGTATGAGGGTGGATAACAAAATCATGCAGCAGATTGAGAAGACGCGGGCGAAGGAGCGGGAGACGGCATGTTGCATACGGAACGACGATTCGGGTTGTGTGCAATCTTCACAGGCGGATTGTTCGGTAAGTACCTCAAGACCCAGATTTTCCGATCCTTGAACCTCTCATGAACTAACACTCATTGCTCTAATGTACATTGCTGCTATTGATAAAGATACGTGGATTGAGGCCATCGGTATGTATACCTACTGTCTTTTCTTATTTTGTAACACCTTGCAACCACCTGGTACCCATATTATCCCTCTGATTATAGAAAACCATCTCAACGTGGAAGAAGTGGTCAGCAGGCGAATCAGGCCCGGGTGGTCGGATCTCTGGTTCCGTGTGCGGCTTGGACCCAAAGTATGTATTACCATTATTATTTGATGGTAATACCCTCTGAAATGTTACCTTTGTGCAGATTTTGCGATGCGCCAGCAAGTGTTCATCCGTACGAATGGCCGGACGACATCACCAAGTGGCCCATTTGTAGAAAGACCAACACACAATCGTCCATTCAGAAGCGCGGACCGGGTACCCGCGACCGCCTCGCTGAGCACATGGTCTGTGAAGTGATCGGACACCCCTGCTGTATCGGCATCCATGGTCAATGTCGCATCACGACCCGCGAGTACTGCGATTTCGTCGAGGGAAAGTTTCACGAAGAAGCCAATTTGTGTTCTCAAGTAAGGACCCCTTAGACCCAACACCCAAAGGTGGGCCAACATGGTGACATATGGTTGTGTTTGTAGGTCTCCTGCTTAAACGACGTGTGTGGAATGATCCCGTTCTACTTCTTCGAGATACCCGACCAGTTCTACCGCCTGTGGACGTCGCTCTTTCTACACGCCGGGGTCTTGCAGTTGGTGATCACGTTCTTCATCCAGTACTTCTTGATGCGTGACCTGGAGAAGCTCACCGGCAGCCTGCGGATCGGCATCATCTACATCGGCAGTGGCGTGGCCGGAAATCTGGCCAGCGCCATCTTCGTACCGTACCGCGCCGACGTGGGCCCATCTGGTTCCCAGTTCGGTCTGCTGGCGTGCCTCATCGTGGAGGTGTTGAATGCGTGGCCCATGCTGCGTCATCCCAATCAGGCACTCTGCAAGCTGCTCACCATCACGCTGGCGCTCTTTGCGCTCGGCTTGCTGCCATGGGTGGACAACTACGCACACCTCTTCGGCTTCGTCTTCGGCTTCCTGCTGTCGTACGCCCTGATGCCGTTCGTGGCGTTCGGCAGCTACGACCGCCACAAGAAGATCCTGCTGGTGTGGGTGTGCCTGCTGTCGGCGCTCTTCCTCTTCACCTGCCTCGTGCTGCTCTTCTACGTGTTCCCCGTCTACGACTGCAAGCTGTGCTCGTACTTCAACTGCCTGCCGCTGACGCCCGACTTCTGTGCGTCGCAGAACATCAACTTCATGCGCGAGGAGCCCGTGGTATGACACACGGCCACGCGGTTGTTGGCCGTCGCCGCCGCGCCCGCCCACGCCCACGCCCGCCTGCGCTCCGGCGCGCGGACGCGGCCCCGGGAGCGAAACCATTGGCGGAATTTTTGCAATTATTCACTTAATCGACGTACTAATTACTAAATGATAATGGGTAAGCATTTATATACATAATAATTATTAATTACTTAATTTAATAACAAGTAAACCAAGATGATAATGAGGATAAACAATTGTGTGCGTGTACGATTTGTAAACATGGTTAATGTGAGCTAACTACTAAATGTTATTAAACGATCACGAGCGCGATTGGCGGCGGCCCTTCGCAGCACGATGCCACAACACAACAAAAATGGACAGCTGTTATATAAAACAATGTGATAAAAAGACGATATCTGTACTTAATTATTATACATACATATATATTAATTACTTAATTAATTACAAACAAATACTTAATTAATTAAACGTTAATTATTATTAAAATTATTACGAGTCATTATGGCGGAGGAATCCAACACGGACACGGAAGAGTACCGTAGGGTAGCAATGTGTAATGCTAGCCGATCCGAACTTCTGGGCGAAATCGAGGCGAATCACCACCACACTACCATCACCACCATCACACGCAGCAATAGCGATCGCGAAGTCGCAGAGAATTGATGTTCAACGTGCAATCGAAACTTTTCATTAATTACTTATCAATTTACCGACCGGTAAGCTAATACGCAGCCATACGCAGGGAGGACCCGACGGATCTATGACTCGATGTACTCACACGAACACACACACAAATTAAGCGTAACGAAACCAAAAAAAAAAAGTGTTAAAGTGTAAACCATGGAATTACCCGAAATGTCGTCACCTGCTCCTCCTGCCGCCCGTACACGCGCGCCACCACACGCCCTCCCCCTTAACCCACCACCCATTCAGGCCGGTGTTCCAGGACCTTAGGGCCTTGCTTTCTTCTGATTACAGCAGGAAGCTGGGCCCTAAGGGCGTGCAATCTGTCCGGCCGGCTCTCGCTCGCTCGCCCCGATTCACACACTTGTAAAACTTTGAATTTTTAACCGTAATCATGTAAGAATTCATAAAATAAATATTGTAAATTTATTGCAATCGAAACAAACATGTAAAATAACGTAATAATGCAAACGTAACAAAACTTTAAAAAAAAAGCAAATGATTGAAATTTGTTTCTGTTGTTCTGATCATTGTTATAAATATTTCTTGTAATACAGCGCAGAGTAACAAATGAGGGACGCGTATGTTTAGTTCTTGTTTTGAGAACGTTCGAGATGCGATGCTACCTGATGCAACGTTGTATTGATTAAGAATAATGTACATCACATCATTTTGAGATTTGTGTCGACATTTACCGAAAGCGATGAGCGGAAAATTGATTATTATGATTATTATTACGATAACGACTATAAATATATTAATATATAAATAAATGATGACGTTTGTTATTAAGACATATAAATAAAAGTATTGATAAAGATACCGATTGAAGGAGAGCGATGAAATTGCTAAAATCACAAAAAAAAATCTTACTTTGTATTTGTAAATGGTTATTATCTGATTACTTATTGAACAAGATACTTGTAATTAACTTACTTTTTGGACTGAATATAGGAGTTTAAATATCATCATGCAAAACACACGAATAACAAGCAAAAGCCACCAAGAAACTTACAAACTGTACACGATAACAAGTGCAATGCTCATTCGGTTGCCCAAGCAACATGCGCATCAAATTTTTGATTACGACCGGATTACGAAACGATTGAAGATGGGAGAACAAACTAGACGTGAACAAAAAAAACATGAATTAACAAGAACATCAGGTGTTACTATTATATATAAATAAATACAAATATATATACTCTATAAGACCAAGCCTTAAACATACATGATACATAATTATATACATATATGATGATGATAATTATGTTGAGAGGAAAACAAACAAAAAAAAAACTTAAAAACAAATTGCGAGCACGCAAGCGATGCAAACCTGCAACAAAGCGCAAACGAGAACAAACAAAAACGCGAAAAATGCAAAATGATAATGAGATATATGAATTTGACATTGAATGAATGATATGGGTGATGATGAATAATGAATAAAATAAAATTACTTCTGCACATAATACTACATTGTTTCATTTAAACTTTTTTTTATCGTATATCATTTTCGGGTCGAAATTCAAATTTGAACATCACGCTTCACCTAGGTTTGACTTATTGAATTTGTGTATAAAATGCTACTCATTTTGACTGGGTGGTGCATGAATACTGTCGTGTACGTGTGTCACACGGACACTCCATCTAAGTGCGTGACCACTCACTGCCTCATAGACAATTTTGCACTGACTCACATGCGCGCCACACCGTTTGAAACACTTTGTACCTGCTTGAGGTACCGTATAGAGTTCTCAGATGACGCGACGGTTCAGGTTTATCGTGAAATATTCCAACGAGTGCATTTTGTTTTGTTGCATCGGTGCGATAACAACGAGCACACATTCCACACTTTCGGCTTGTGTTATTCTTTCATACAAGTTCGGCAAATCGCAATATATTTGATTAAAAAACGTGTTTGGTCTTCTACTAGTTACATATCGCGTGTGTTGACTTTGTGTTTCTAAAGTTTGCGTATTTAGTTTATTCAGTGTTTGTTTGTGAGTCCGTTACCACCAAGCGACGGCCGGCGATATCTTGTGAACGCCATTAATTGAAATATTAATTGATTGTGCGAAACAGTATTACATATTTGTCATCAGCCGATGAACATGGACAAATACCTGGTAAATATTGTCATTCTTATCATTATTATGCGTATCTAAATTTGAGTTTAGTTCTACGTCTCTAGTTTTTTTTGCTATAACCCGCGAACGCGGTGTCACAGTAAATTCGAAATTACGTTCCCTGGTGCAGAATTTAATTCCGTATCTCCCAGTATTAAAATTAATTGCCAAAAAATTTCGTAACGCGAGTTATATTGATAGTTGTGTGTATACGCACTTGTACTCGTTGCGCTAGGAATTGTAGTTTTTTTGCTATAACCCGCGAACGCGGTGTCACAGTAAATTCGAAATTATGTTCCCTGATGCAGAATTTAATTCCGTATCTCCCAGTATTAAAATTAATAGCCAAAAAATTTCGTAACGCGAGTTATATTGATAGTTGTGTGTATACGCACTTGTACTCGTTGCGCTAGGAATTGTAGTTTTTTTGCTATAACCCGCGAACGCGGTGTGTGCGAAATGAGCAAGGGCTTATTTTCTAGGTGTTTTCTAGGTAACTATAAGTTACAATGTTTCTTAATATTTCTTTATTAGAATATTTATATACGTAACTTAAAATTAGAATACATAACACTTAGAGAACTTGCCGACATTTTTAAACAAAGCTTGTTACCAGCATGGTATATACAAGGATCTACATGTACATCAAGTTCAAATAAGAAAACACAATAATACTAATAAATGTTACCAAATTTTCACAGAATATCAGGAAAATATTATACAGAGTGTTACAAACTGAAAAGTATAATATTTAAAACGAAAATTCACGTTCAAGTAGGAACACATATCACTACCACTTTTCTCGTGACATCCCGGGAAATTATTCTACAGGGTGTTACAAAAACATCGACAATATTTTAAGAAATATCTAGTGTTAGTGAATAACATACATCGTAATTACTTGTTACCTGACATGGAAGAAAATTAATATACAAGGTGTTGTAAAAGGAAATCATAATTTTAAAAATACAACTCCTAATAATAAGTATGGCCTATTTTTACTATATAATGAGGAAAAAAAATTAATACAGGGTGATGCAAAAGAAAAACTAAAATTCAAGTTGGGAAACTGCCGAATACAATAACCAGGATAACAAAAATTTTTCGCGTGAAACAAATACAGGGTCGTACATAAAGAAAACAACCATAAAGAAAATTAAATGTTCAAGAACGCAAACCCTGAATAATGACTAACTTTTATCATTTATCACGTGACAACATGGAAAACTAACATACAGGGTGTTACAAAAAGAAAAACAATAACATTTTAAGATATATACCAAAGTTCAGGAGGGCATTCTTCCAAACACTACAAATATGTCCAATTTTAAACGTGGATAAAGAAAGACAAACATACAGGGGTGGTATAAATAAAATCATAGATCAAGAAGAGACATATTTAAAAATGACAAAAGCAGGTAATTTTACATGGATGTAAAAGGAAAACCAAAATACAGGGTGTCCCAAAAAGAAAATTGAAAATTCAAGTGGAAAACAAGCTCTTATTAAAAAAATTACAGAGTTTTAAAGAAAGGACAAAAACTACTTTTAAAAACATATCCAAAGATCAAAAATGAACAGAACAAAAACTAAAAAAGATAATCTATTTTCTTAGGCACGATGTTACACAAAGGAAACAATTTATAATAAAATTTATATATATATATATATAAAGATGGTAAGTTCTATTGTAAAAGCATTGGAAATTATCAAGTAGATAACACATAATTAACTATAAATGTGTTTTTTACTAATTTATTATAATTTTAAAAAGTGCCAGGTAAACGATCCGACGGATCATCATAAATATAAACTAAATCGCGCTACTTAATACATGCTTAATATCAATAAATACTTGGACAATTGTCGAAGAAATATGAATATTTTAACAAATGACAGATTGTAGTGATCGTCCATAAGTGTTTTGCGTAATGAAAACAAATATTCAAGCTCTGATGGAAAGATTTCATTACCATATTTGGCTGGAGAGGACTAGTGACACAATCCGCGTTGGAGACGACAATTATCCGATTAATTTTACTTACACGGTAGCATTTTGTATTTGCTAATTGAGGATCAGCAGGTCCTATTCTAAAATTGATTTCAGTTAATTTCACAGGCAAAGAACAATCACCGACGGCCGACAAAACCTAACACGCGCACAAGTGAACCGTCGATTACTCCGCGATTGATTGATTTAACGCACGCACCTGCAAAACATGGTTAACACGCGATTCCGGTATATGCCATCAATATAAATAATTATTATAGGAAGAAACAAAACTAGTCGCGATAAATGCACGCGTCTCAATCTGTGTCCGAAATAAAACTGCATGTGCACAGCCGACGGCGACAACACGCGGCCACTATCAGGTGTGCGATGCGTTAGCACAATGTGACCATGAACGCAATTCAAAGAGATGTTTATTTACAAATATTAATAAACCCAGGCTGCCATAAAGGATTGAATAAATAAAAATATAATGTAAAGAGTAATATGAACAGAAAACCACTAGATATCAAAGCAAAAGCTAAAATTTCAGGAAAAAACACCGAAAATTTACAAACATCGACGATTTTAGAGTGACATCACTGGAAATGTAACCTGCGAATAAAATTATTTTTAATTACCTGAATTATTTAATTACCTCACCAGTATTTTTGGCCTAGGAGTTCAAAAGACAATTACCGAAACAGAAAAAACTTCAATTGCCAAGAACAACAGAATCATAATAGAATATAGAGAAAAAAAAGAAAATGTTCCAAAAGGTTATCTCCCTTTGTCCATTTTCGATATAAACTTGTTTCGACCCTGCTTATTTCCCAATTTTAATAGTTTATCTGATAAAGAATTTTCCATAGCTTCATAATCAGCAATTCGTTTATCTCTATCTCTTTTAGTTTATGAGATATTTGAATTTATAGCAATAAAAATCGAGGAAAATGTGAAAAAGTATCAAGCACCCCCACCTTGGCAATTTTTTCTTAAGAATTAAAATTTCATCATCTCAGATTTCCGTTTTAACTATCCTATCTGATAGAAAATAGTCCGTAGATTAAGATGCTGCGATCAGATCTTAATTATCTCTTTTAGTTTACGAGATATTCGCGTTTGAATAAAATGGGCAAAAATTGAGAAATGTCACTTTTTAGCACTTTTAGTCGCGATTTTCGACCTTTTACTGTGGGAAATATAATTATTTTATATTTTTATCTGATAAAGAATTTTCCAATCTTGCATAATCAGTAAATTGTTGGTTGCTATCTCTTTTGGTTTAAGAGATATGAATTATCAAAAATCGTCGAAAAAAAGTATCAAGCACCCCCCCTTGGCAATTTTTTCTTAAGAATGAAAATTTCATCTCTCCAATTTCCGTTTTAACTATCCTATCTGATAGAAAATAGTCCGTAGATTAAGACGCTGCGATCAGATCTTATTTATCTCTTTTAGTTTACGAGATATTCACAATTGAATTTCGCACTAACTAGTTAACTAGTTTCGCGTTTTTCTAGATTTTACCTCATTATAGGAGTAATATTGTATCCATCATTCATTAATTGCACTAGCATGAACTACAAATCATAAATTAGAAGTGTATTAGTTTTGAACACAATTCTGTTACCTGCGTTTCTGTATAAAAACTTTTTATCGCATGTATTCCGTACATCGTTCTCTCGCACCGCATCTACTTGCTGCATGCAGCAGTTTAGTTTAGATCGTAGGTATCCGTGTCTATTGCTATTGGCGCACAAAGTCACGTGTGATAAGGTTTGCACACCTCTTGTATTTACACGCGCGACAGCAGGCTGCCTTATCATATCGTCAGCTGTGGTGTGTGTATATTAGGCATGCCTTAGCATTTTCGGTTATGCTACGGCCAGTTCCGTGCCGGTCTCTGGTTCCTTCGGGCTTGTCTCTCGCGGCTTATATCATTCTTAGAGTTTGATTAATTATTCGGCGTTGTATTTGATTGATAATCGTGTAAATTTTCACCGCTGCGGTTTTATCGTGTGCAGTTGCCGTTGTCGGTCCCTTCATTTTTCCGTCATGTTGATTTATTCATCATTAGATAATCCATTGGTTATCTCTAGGTAACTTTTAACTGAATAACATAGATTATTAGTTTTCTTTTGATGTGTGAATATAATATTAATAAAATTTATGAAATGATTTAACTTGTGTTTTATTTTATTTATAGTACCTTTCGGGTCTTGGATTCCGACAGGTTCCGCTTTGGTAAGTTAATATTTTAACTATGTTTTTCGTTTATATTTGCGCGTCACATTTTTTTTATTGCAATGGCATAAGATAGTCGCGTACCATGCTGATACATCAAAGAATTAAACTTTTGATTTTCCGGCTATTCTGTTCATTATTTGTAATGGAAAATTAATTTTCTGTTTTTCTCAATCTTAGGACATTCCAAATTCAATTAATTCTTTTCCTATGCTGAGAAATATTGAAAGTAAAAGTAGATTTCGTGTATGTCGGTTATTTCAACATTGTGATATTTTAGTTTGGTCTTTTCATCTACGAGTTTATCAGTACGTTTGTGTATAAACAACTTTTTTTGTTCGACTGACGCGTATTATCGCTTCGTACCAGCCTTGTACCTGACTAAGCAAAGCGCACACGGCAGTCGTTTCACCGCGTGGTCCGCGAACGTGTCTCTCTAATCGCCATGCGTTTTGAGGTTTTAATTGGATTAATCGTCGGATACTTTTTTGACCATCAGCAAAATATTCGCAATGGGCATGTGTGCCTGATTTGTTTAATGATTTGTCACGTTTGGAGTCTCCTTAAATAAGAAATAAGTGTCCATCAATCTGTGCGTGTGTTTTCAGGTGATAGAATATATTCCAGGATATAAAATCCCCTCATCAATGCATAGGTAGGTGTGTAATTAAATTTTTTACGGAAACTTACGCCGGTTTAACTTAAATTGAATTTTCTATTTGAGTGATATGAAATTTGCATGTATCATCTTGCGAATAAAAACACATGGTATGTAGCATTTTTACCAGAATTCTTAGTTCCGTTTCCGAAAATAACATGGATGATTTAATTACTACAAATACTGTTTTACAAAAGTATCTGAAGATTATTATTATTGGCAATATTCATATGGTCGACCACGCTCACTTTGCCGTCGGCCGTCGGCTCGGCCGTCTTTTCGCAGAACACGTGAATGTTTTTATTTGCACTCCTTAGCATAATTAAATTAAGAAGTTTCTTGTTGAGCTAGTAAAATTTTACACGTTTTCGTTTTCATAGTCTCTGTACGTCTTAACATTTACAAAAATGAACAATAGTTATTTTTATCCTCTCTAACAATTGTATTGCTACGCGCCGTCGCTTGCCGTCAGCTGATTTGAATGTTTTCCGCAGGATATTCTATCAATTTATGATGATGCTTTACCCGTCGGTTACTTTATGCAGTTGATGCATCAATTAATAAATATACATTCTCAATATATTAAAATATTGTTGTTTATTTGTAAATTTCCCTCTTCATGTTGTGAATATTAACTCCCTTTGTAGTTTCTAAAGTTTTCTTTATGTAACACCATGTATATTAGTTTTCCTAACACTACGTAGAAAATCGCCGGTATTTGTGAGTTTTGTGGGCTCTTTGTTTCAACTAGAGATTTTCTTTCTTAAACACCCTGTATATTCATTTATCTTTGTGTCCGTGAAAATTTTGCTTTAACTGTTGTTTTTAGAGTTTTCCTCATTGCCCTTTAAATTTTCTTTTTGTGACACCCTGTATATTAGTTTCCCGGAGCCTCGGGTGAAAAACGAATGATATTTGAAGTGTTAAAATGTTTTTCTGTTTTCATAGTAAATTTTTCATTTGTAACACCCTGTATATTTGTTTCCATTTTCAACCCCGTAGAAAATAAGCCATTTGCTAATTTCATTATTACGGTAGAACTGTACGAAGTGGTACTTGCTTATATGTGCGCGGCTTAGCAGGTCGTAAGTCCGGTTTCAATATGGCGAAATCATAAGTTTTATTTACTTTTCCCGCAGTATCGTTTCTGCAAGAAGGCTATTGAAAAATAAGTCACATTGTATAGGTATTTAAAGCGGACTAAAAGACAAAACGTCCGTGTTAAGTCAAGCTCCCATTGCCTAATTGCACTATTGTGAAAAAAAAAAAACAAAAAATATTTCTTCACAATATTAATGTAATCTGAACTGCACATCACAATTTTGAATGTTTAACTAAGACTATATAAAAGTTTCATTCGAATATTGCAAGATATTCGACACTTATCTTCTAATTTGCGTGGACGTAAAATTAGATCAGCGGAAACTCAAAATAAAATATTGGCGTATCTCAATGATACACGCACCGATTTGCATGATTTTTCGGGGGTGGCACTGGGGCCAGAACGGAGGTAGGAACGCCGTTTACGCGTTACTCGTAACTATTGTTTCGTGGATATATGGGTGACTCCCATTACCCGCTGACTCCCATTACCCTACTCTCCCCTACACATTAATACATAAGACTATACAGCAAAGTCATATACACAATAAAAGATGCATTCAAGTTCTACATACAGAATTACATAACACAAACAGCAATCAAGGAAATGGGCTCAAGAGGATGACACGCACAAACAAATCTAGGATTACGCACTGTTGCTTTGAAGCTTCTCTAACAGACTACCGCTGCTGAAAATTCTGTTACTCAGCCTTGAAGTATGCTCGAATAGGTGAATTAAAATAAAGAAAGTCACCCAGTTTACCGTTCTATCACGTCTTTCTCGAAGAAGAATGTCATTGTTCCTATCCATTGTCCTAATAATATCACAACAAACATTGCAAGAAGTAGCAGGTTCATGCTATCCGTATCTCGCGAGCGTGCAGTGTAAATACTCGTAAGTTGATAACACACGGCCATCTTATATATATTAATACGCACAAGGAATGAAAAGAAAATTAACGTTATTGTATATTCGACACCCGATTATCTACTAATAAAACACGAAACACGTGAGTAACAACTAAATCCAGTCGATGGACAATCGAATTCAACGCGATTTACCGAATTGCAAACTAAAAATAAATCGATAACATCCGCGAGAAACACGCCCGACCCGACCAACGACCGGCACAAAACTGTGCTGATCACACCGCGCAGCGCAATCAACGACGGCACGCGACCGCACACGATTATACGAGTACTCTGCGCACGCCGCAATACAACGCGCACTAAATAGTGCAAATGCAACAAACAAGGTCGCATGCTGCATAAGCAACTTTTGATATGCGCCTAGAAAATTTGTTTAATGCCATTTCGCGTGCAAAATATCATACGAATTATCACCTATGCAAGATCGCGTGCAAAGCCGAACAAATACAAACATTTCACGAGAAAGGGTGATAAAAATCACCCTTTTATGCAAGTTTTCGTGGGTTGTACGTCGAATTCTGGCAAAAAACAAATACAACCCGACGAAGAATTTAATTCCGCATCTCTAGACGTCGCGATGACGTTTGTAAGCCGCCTAAATCGCGCGCAAACACAAAAAATACAAACATTTCACGAGAAAGGGTGATAAAAATCACCCTTTTATGCAAGTTTTCGCGGGTTGTACGTCGAAATGACGTTTTAAGCCGCCTAGATCGCTCGCAAACACAAAAAAAATACAAACATTTCACGAGAAAGGGTGATTTTTTCATGCGAATTATCACTTTTACCGCTGGCCTCGTAAAGTACCCTGAATCGAGTCACTTCTACCGCTAACAAATACAACCCGACGGAGAATTTACTCTAAACACCCCGCTCGAGTTTGTGTGACGCTCAGCTCGCGTTCAATGATTAAAATGATGCACCATTTTACCACCACGTGGGGATAAGTACAAAACAAACACTTAGTTACACATACCACATACCAGTATTTCACTCGTTGCAACACTCAGGACTAAGGTTGAAGATGATAAAATCTGTGAAATAAATGACATTGTTAAGGGGAAATGCGGGAAGGGGTGTCAATATTTATTTTATTTTAAATCGGGAGTCGACCGACGAAGCGAATCAAATTCGCATTCTAATTTAGCTCGTGATTCGGGCATCGGAACTCGAAGGCAATTGCTAAAACAGAGAAGAGAACGATAGTTAGAACATTGAGTGCAAGTAATAATAAAATAAGGCAGACACAAAACATGCAATAAAACTTCTCGGCGAAGTGTAAAATATGATATAAATGCGACTCGAAACTTGTTTATACACAAACAAATACTGATAAGCAATAGGAATTCCGCCGAGGAATCGCATAAAAAAGTTTCAAAACAATCGGCGAAAATATGTATTGTCACGTTGCATATTAAAACTATATGGCCGGTTGCCACGGTCCTTATTAGGTCGCACGAACTAAAGGTAAATCACATTTAAATACAGTAATAATAGATATGGTTAGATAAGCATGTTCACAATAATAACAAGGTAAGATTTCGTTTTAATCCGACGTAAACAACGACTTCCGGAACAATGCATGCATGAATGGGTGAATTAAACATGGAAAGGAAAATAGTTTCCACTTTACCTTGCTTTCTTGGCGTCTACGCAAAACATTGTCCATATTTCCGAGGCAAAATACCACACACAATGACAATCACAGATAGACCGCAATTAAATGAAATAATATCACAATACAAAACAAGTTAATAGCACGCGGCCATCTTGCTTTATGCCCAAAGAACGCAAAGAAAATTAATGATTTTGTATATTCAACATCCGATTATCTACTAATAAATACTAAACACATTAGCAACAACTAAATGCAGGCGATGGACGATCGAAATGAACGCGATTTACAGAATTCAAAATTCAAAATAAAACGATAACAGCCGCGAGAAACACGTCCGACACAACCAACGACAGACACAAAACTGCATCGAGCTCACCGCGCAGACGCCGCAATACAACGCGCACTATTTGCAAACAAACAAGGTCGCATGCTGCATAAGCAACTTTTGATATGTGCCTAGAAAATTTGTTTAATGCCATTTCGCGAGCAAAATATCATACGAATTATCACCTATGCAAGATCGCGAGCAAAGCCGAACAAATACAAACATTTCACGAGAAAGGGTGATAAAATCACCCTTTTATACAAATTTTCGCGGGTTGTACGTCGAATTCTGGCAACAAACAAATACAACCCGACGAAGAATTTAATTCCGCATCTCTAGACGTCGCGATGACGTTTGTAAGCCGCCAAGATCGCGCGCAAACACAAAAAAATACAAACATTTCACGAGAAAGGGTGATTTTTTCATGCGAATTATTACTTTACCGCTGGCCTCGTAAAGTACCCTGAATCGAGTCACTTCTACCGCTAACAAATACAACCCGACGGAGAATTTACTCTAAACACCCCGCTCGAGTTTGTGTGACGCTCAGCTCGCGTTCAATGATTAAAATGATGCACCATTTTACCACCACGTGGGGATAAGTACAAAACAAAGACTTAGTTACACATACTACATACCAGTATTTCACTCGTTGCAACACTCAGGACTATTGTTGAAGATGATAAAATCTGTGAAATAAATGACATTGTTAAGGGAAATGCGGGAAGGGGTGTCAATATTTATTTTATTTTAAATCGGGGGTCGAACGACGAAGCGAATCAAATTCGCATTCTAATTTAGCTCGTGACTCGGGCATCGGAACTCGAAGGCAATTGCTAAAACAGAGAAGAGAACGATATTTAGAACATTGCGTGCAAGTAATGATAAAATAGTGTAAAATATGATATAAATGCGACTCGAAAACTTGTTTATACACAAACAAGTACTGATAAGCAATAGTAGAATTCCGCCTAGGAATCGCATTAAAAAGTCTCAAAACAATCGGCGAAAATATGTACTGTCACATAGCATATCACATAGCTATTAAAACTATATCGCCGCTTGCGACTGATTATGAAAGATTGGAACATTCTCTATCAGATAAAAATATAAAATAATTATATTTGCTACAGTAACAGGTCGAAAAACGCGACTAAAAGTGCTAAAAAGTGACATTTATCAATTTTTGTCCATTTTCTTCAATCGCGAATATCTCGTAAACTAAAAGAGATATTTGAGATCTGATCGCAGCGTCTGAATCTACGGACTAAACTCTATAAGATAGGATAGTTAAAACGGAAATCTAAGAGATGAAATTTTAATTCTTAAGAAAAATTGCCAAGGGGGTGCTTGATATTTTTTTCAACAATATCTTCTAAACTAAAAGAGATAGCAACCAGCGGATTGTAGATTATGAAAGATTGGAAAATTCTCTATTAGATGAGAATTAAAAATAATTAAATCTCTTGGGGTAAAAGGCCCATAAATGTGACTAAAAGTGTTAATAAGTGAAATTTTTCTTGTGCTTTCTCATGCTTTTTATGTAAATAAAATTCGTAATCTTTCCGCGGAAAAACGAAAGTCTAAAACACATGAGGACAGCGCAGGAATTGAAAATGCATTCGTGGCCGACGGTAAACACATCAAGCGGAACAACGAGAATGCACAATGCGGCGCAGACAGACAAGCATTCTCCAACTGAATTCACCGCCGCCGATTTGTGCGCTCACATTCTATTTGTATATTCCGGCAGAGCGCACACGAGCACGAAAATGCATCAAAGATCAAACTGTCGCGGAATATCAACCGAGACCTCGGCACGCGAGATTTCATCCCTACAACACACATTTCATCACAAACATAAATAAGCACCAACAAAACTAGCAATAAAAAAGTAAATTGTTATATTTTCCAAACAGTCAGAATTGTAATTTGACCTGCTCGAGAATTGTAACAAGTGTCAGTCAAGACAAAACAAGCTTTCAATCCTTTCTCCATCCGCTGTCTTCAGAAACTCCAAAACATTTCGCTGCAATGTCTGATATCCTGTCTCAAATGTCATGCTTTATTTGAAAACAATGGATACAATCTGTACAAATGCATTTTCTGTTAACAAGAACCTTTTGCATATTTGATAATAATCAATCACAGGTTAAATGATTGATTTAGGTTGATATTGGACATTCGCGAAGTTTCGCATTGTTCAATTCGCCAATTTACACGCGAAAACGCGGAAAAATCACTCAAATGAATACTTAATAGTCTGAAATCGCAATCATTTGCGTTTCGTTCAACACGGCGCACAATTACAACCCTTTAGCAGTCGACACAACGAAAATTGAGCAAAGCAATCATGACTTAGTTGGAAATTAATTGAAACGAACTTTCTGCTTCCATCAAAGCTTTCACGGCGCAAAATGATTAATTATAAATCTATGCAATTATCCTGAGTTGGATTGCAGGCGAATTCTTCAATAAATAATGGCAAGCAATATTTCTAAATCAAATCAAATTTCGCTTATGTTGTAAAACATAAATCCTAGATGCGTACGGGTTTTTATCGCCTGCTATTAATTTTTTCGCCGCAGCTGTAAAGCGATTAAAGTTACTCCTCGACTACCTGCAGCGTGGATTATTAGAAAACCTGCGAGGCGTTCACGCATTTCGGTAGCGATTAAGCGGCGAGCGGCGACGGATTACCGTGAAGCGAATGTTGTCGGCGCCCGGCGCATCCACCACCACCGCCTCCACCACGTCCGACATTCGTGCGGTGCTTAAAGAAGCGAAGCGAAGCGCGTTGGAAGAAATTTATTAACTTCCGAAGTTATAAATCCTCATAATTATGTGTATTATTAAAAGCCACCCTTCTACCCTACCCTTACGATAACATTAGTAAATGTTAAAAAATTATAGAAAATTTTTCAAAACGTGAATAAAAACGCACTAAAAACGTATTTTAATCAAATTTTATGTGAGGGTATATTTACGACATTGGGTACTAAGATTTATAAATTGATAAACGCACTAAATTGATTACAACGCGCGTATGATTAATTCATAAATGAGAATGGACAATAAAGCCGGACGGATTTATGTACAAATTTATCACCACCATCATGACTGAGGCTGAAATCCATAGCGATAATATTTTTATTAGATTATATTACACACACAATATTTTTTTCGCTAGCTGGTAGGCCGATAGAAGCATTGAAAAAAGCGGAAAATGGAAATGTGCGCGTCATTAAGGACTGGTAAAACAAGCAATGTTATTACGTTTATTACCCAGTCATAAATGCAAATATCATGTGAAAGAAATTCTGTTAGGCTTGACCAAAAATGCAGAACATGTGTATAATAGTTTATTACGCGGTAAAACAGTCATTAATGTCATAGGTATTTCCGAAATGTGATAAAAAAATTCTTTAGATATCAAAATCAAATATTACTTTCATTTCGCGAAAGAATAAAGTAATATCAACTTTGATTTTGGTAATCGAGAAACGAACACTTGGGGATGAAAAAACACAACACAATATCAGCGAATCTATTCTGTTTTCGTGCGTGTTTTTATTTGCTTTTTTCGCGTGCCTAGAGTAAAGTTATACGACTTATGGCCATTATATGATGAAGAGTAGCAGAAGAGCGAAAAACGAATAAAAAAAAGCATCACGCTATACTCGTAGTTTTTCCATGCCAGTCGAGTTTCGTTTTCGTCTTCTTGCTTTTTACAGCGAACTGCTGCTTGCTTGTTTTTGCGTGTTTTTTGTCATGACGGGGTGAAAAGTCTAGCCTAAACGAAAGCTACTCGCAAGAGAGTGAAAACGGCAAAGAAAAGACCGAAACAAAAACCCGAAATTGCGAATCTGGTACGGATGAATGGCGATGAAGCACATGGTGGATGCGCCGGGCAATGTCAATACAAATCCAATTTGAATGATATTTATTGAAATCCCAGCACATTTTTTACGCAAAAACAACTTGTCCTCTAATATATTCACTTTTTAATGACAATTTTATCACGAAATGAATCAAATGATTGCAATACACCTCTTGCATAAATTTCCGCCATTTAATAATCCGCGTATTCTAATTAGAATAACGCGCCACCCCGTAGATTGATTGACGCCGGCATCCGGGGAGTTCCGCCGCCGACAAAATTACCATCTAATCTGGCGCGTCGCGCAACTTCGCCAGGCATGTTCCACGCGTCGGCGGCGGCTCTAGATAAAATACATGCCCGCACCGCCAAAACATCCCCCAAGCAGCAGAGTATTCGAATGCGCGCACAATTCAACTTCAAACGTGCAAGTCTAACAAACTAACCAGTAAGACACATCGCACTTCGTTGGCTCGCGCAGAAGGCTGAATGCAGGAAACGTCGCCTTGCGATTCCAGATTGCTATCTGAAGACAGCGCCGACTGCGGGGGTTTTATTATCTGATTCAACGAGTACGAGTTCGCGTACATCGTGAATTAGTCGAAATTGTAAATTTAAATTTATAAACGCCCGACAGCATAAATCGTTCCTAGAATGACTTCAAACAGCGCAGTGGAACAAAACTATAACACAAATAAGCTGAACTCGCGGTGGGGAAACAAACATGCAAATGTAGCATGATGGACATAAATAGCAATTAAGCACTTATCGTCCACGTTGGCGAGATTGCCAGGTTGCGGGGTGAGTTATGCAATTTCGCTCTCGCTGAAGTTTTTGTTCATTTTGGCTGTGCGAGAGGGTAGAACACGAAAATAAACACTGTTCGGGTTTTATGTCGTGCGTACGATGCATCATTAGTTGCCCGTTTTATTTGACTCGTGAATAATTTAATTGCACATGACGGGGTTTCACTCGTCCATTAAATTTCAGCACTCGCCGGGTATTGTATGTACATAGATCGGACATGCAACACGACATGAAAACGCAATTTTTGCGCCGTTAATAACAAAAACACTACAAACATCGGCGAAATTCAACAAAATATTGACACAGAAAATGACAAATTGTGTCGGACAAATTTTAATATCAATATTTTAACATTTGAAGAGTTATTGTGATGGTAGGCAACCAATTTTACTTCAGCTGAATAAAAATAAACTTTAGTCACGACTTTAGTCACGACCGTGATTAAAGTCCAACTTTTTGTGTATAAAATAGAAAAAGTAAACTTTTAGTCAATATTAAATCAAAATAATTCAAGAGTGAATTATGAGGTGATTTTTTTCATAATCTCAGCATGTGGCTTTAATGCTGTGCACTTACAAAGTTGAATATATTCCAAACGCGTATAAAACACTCGCATGTCAAACTTTTCCCCGAACGTAATGTTTTGCTCCTCGCTGCGCCGTGTTTCCTCGTGTGACACATTGTAAACCCCACGTGCAATGTACACGCCGCGCAAGAAGTATTACCACAACGTTTTTTTTTTTATTTCTGCTTCAAAACAACAAAAAAAACTAAAAAATCCACCATGCGGCACTTTGTTTCTCTTGTACTCTCCGCACGATTCATGAGCGTATCGTTTTGTTTACTTATGAAAATTTATGATTTCCTTCATATTGGCGTATCGGGAATACAAGGAAAACAAGAAAAGCCCGGCTGGAAGTAAAAACACGTGTCAGCGGAGGCTGCGCGCGTATCAAACGAACCTGTGTCAACGTGTTTATGTTTACTTCTGGCTATCTTTTCGTTTCTCCCACACACACAGCTCGTGGATTTTGTTTAACTTGAACTTCTTTTTTTCCGCGTTTTGTTTCGTGTTGGCTTTTTTCGCTTCTATGCAAGTATTTATTTTTAGGTGCGTGCGTAATGTCGAAAGTTTTCACAAACGAGCTT